GCTCCGTCTCTGGTAAACACTCCTGTGTGAACGAAGTATAGCGGTCACTGGAGGGCCAATGAATGCACATGAAGCGTGATCGACTCCCAAATCCAGCCGGCTCTCGGCCAGGGGTGTCACATTAACTAGCTCGACAGCGCCCTGACCTCTTTGGTTAAAGCCTGTTAACGCTTGATTCGGCTGGCTGTTCAATGTTCATGGTCACAGGCCTGCTACCACCCAGGGTATATGCTACCACCCAGGGTATATTGAGTGAAGCTACCACCTGTCCGCTATGCTGTTGGATCCGCTGCATTTGTGCCTTGTGGTGTTTGGTTTACTGGTGTTTGGTTTACGTCGTTACGCGGTTTCCAGGGTTAGAAATGGGAGCGGATGTGCCCTTTGAAAACCGAACTGTTCTGCACCTTTATAGGTCAAATAACTGAGCCCTCATTGTAGAAATGGTTTTTAACCCGCACCAAGAATCTTGCCCGCACCTCACCGGGGGGAAGGGGGGCAGAATCTGCCCCCCTCCCGTTTTCCGCCAATAACTTCTAAACGCGTTACGCCAACGTCAAACTTTCAGTACCTACCTTATCATACATCAATTTAACACGTTCCCTGAAAAGTTGAGCGAAATCCGTCGGATTTTTTTTAAGAAAATGATGTTTTAATGACGTCATGTCCGCCATTTTCGCCTCAAAACGGCAAAATTTCAAACGCCGCTAACATCTTCATTTTTAAAGGAATCAAGACGTAACAAAAAAGCTTATACGTGATTCTTCTTTGTCTATCAAATGGCTATCTCGGTTTTGTGAATTATTTGGATTTTGGCCCAATTTGTTTTTTTTTAACTGACTTTTTGGGGAAAATAGTTATAAAATCCAAAATTTTGAGTGTATCAAAAAACCGGAATATATGCCAGAGAAGTGGTCTATGTGCACCTACATACCAATTTTTAGAAGAATCGGTTAAAAAATGTGGGAGTTATTCAAAATTTTATGACGTCTTAACACACAAAATTTTTGATTTTTTAAAAGTTCTAGACCTCTTACGGAAACAAAAATAGCACCATTCGATTTGCCGTGAAAAACTGCATCAGATAGACACCTTTTTAGGCCTTAACAACCAACTTCAAAATTTAACCTCACTTGACCTCACCTTGACCTGATCTCGACCTGAAATTCATCCAGATGTGGTCCATATCACTTATTGAGTGTGCCTATTGAATTCTATGAATAAAATGACCCATAAAACATGTGTCGCACATGCCCTTTTCTATATTTCGTTTTTGGTGACCTGACCTGACCTTGACCTTGACCTTTGCATGACATTGTATGCAACAAATATTGTCTTGGTAGCCGAAGAACACGTTTTGGGCAATCAGTCTCAGTCCATTTTTCGGCAACTACGGTGCAAGGCCGAAACTGTAGAAACTTGCATTTTGTACCCTTGACCTGACCTTGACCTGACCTCTGACCTACTTAAGCAAAAAAATGGGTTCTTAAGATCCGCCTTGTTGAGAGCTTTCGATTGCCGTTTTCCCCGTCGTTCTACGACCATCGGTTCGGAAGTTAGACGGGGGGGGGGGGCAGAATCTGCCCCTCCCCCCTCCCCCCCCCCCCCAGCAGGGCGCGTATGGCTGAATAGCCCAGCGGGGCGCATGTTAAAAAGACATTTATTGCTTTGCTTTCCCGTTCACAAATGATAGGCATCGGCCGAGTTGTAAGGTAGTTGAAAAAGGAAATCTTGTCTGAAGCGGTAAAATGATCTCGACAGTAAAAAGTCCCACGCGCACAAGCCGCGCAACTACGGTATTGACCAGGCATCAAGCAAGCGCGATTAAATACCGGCTGAAAACCATGCGCATGCTGCGTGTTTAGTCGATACTCAATAGCTTTGCGCGATAGCATCAGCCGTGTCTGAGCTGAGATACACCACACAGCCCGACCCCTGCCCTGCCAGACCGGCGCGCCTTACGCCACATTATCGACACTCTTCATTGACGTGGGCTTTGGGGCCGGCGGGGGAGCAGCGGGGGTCGGTCGGCCGTCCATCACAGCCTAGCCGGCCCCACCACGGCGCCCGGGCCGGGTCGGCGGGCCCGGCGGCCGCGGCGCCATGACCGTGGGCGCGGCCCCGGGCCCAGCAGACGGTAATTGGCACCGCCGCTGCCGTCGTTTCTCAGCGCCGTGTGCGTCCGTCCGTCTAGGGTGGGGGAAGGGGACAACGATCGTGATGGTCAGGTCACACGAGGCCAGATGTAGTGATTTAGGGTCTGTCCTATACAGTTGGTGATATAAATCCCGCCGTGACTAAGCGGAGGAACGTTTTTTTAACCCGCGCCCGGCTGGGGGTCCTGGATTTCCACGCCCTGCTGGGGGGGGGGGGGGTGTTTGAACACCCCCTTGTAACTCGGCTCCTGAGCCACGTAGCGATACGCGGAAGGCGGCGTTCGAAAGAGCGTAAAAAATAATGACGAAATTACTTCGGTCAATTTTTGGTCAGGTCAAAGGTCAGGTCACCAGAGGTCATTGAAGGCAAAATTTCGCCGATTTCCAGGTCGAATGTCGAAAATTTCCAAGAAGCCAACGCATAACTCGGGAACCAATAGAGCTACAGCGCCGCGGAAAAACGCATTTGATAGCCCTATTAACGCCCTTTCTGAGTAATTCTCTCAGATTTGACCTAACGTCAACGGTTTTGCCTGCAGGGGGCAAAAACTGCAAAAATAGCCGATTTTTTCGGAAACAGTTTTTCTGCAATAACTTTTGACCCAAGCCTTGTACGAGCTTACTTTTACCGTCATCGTGTTCCTCTCGTCAAGACGCATCGAATGAACTATAACTTGACCTTGAAAAGTCAGCTTGAAAATTTGACCTCAGGTCAAGGTCATGACCTGACCGCAAAGGGTCATGTTGCATATCAGTCGATCCGTATAGTCGAGCTGAACACATATAAGGCGTTGTCATCGCTCTAGCATGCCTCTATCAAAAGTTATCTGCGAAAAACTGTTAGATACCATTCGTGACCTAAGATGATCTCAGGGCATAAACAAGGGTCACGGACACCATTTTCATGTTCAGTGTGTCTAAACCACTTGTACTTCGGTGTTTGGGAGTGTTTATAATGTCTTTCGTCCAAAAGAGGCGCATTTCAATTTTCTCCCATTGACTTATAATGGGGAGGTCGCAAAATTGACCTGACCTTAGGTCATTGATATCAAAATTCTGAGATATACATTTTGTACATGCTATTGCTTTTAGCAATCGCTGAAAGTTTCAAAGCGATCGGTCACTCGGTGTAGCTATGACAGACATTGAAACTTTTTATGAGGTGAGGTCACTTCAAGTGACCTGGTGACCTGACCTTGAATGACCTTGGTCTGAAATTTTCACAACATGTGTAGAATTGATGTATGATAAGATGTACCAGAAATGGCGGCGCTCCGCGCCGCCGTTTTTGAGATATTCGCGAAAAACCACAGGGGGGGGGGTGTTCAAACACCCCCCCAGCAGGGCGCGGGTTAAGCCACTTTGACTCTTCGCAGATAATCTTTTGACTTGGGCATCCACAAAAGTAGTATGTAAAAAGTTTTTTTTTGGCGAAGCCAGTGACATTAAAATTGGTTCTACTTAAAGTTACTACAATCAAAAATCGCTTTGAAAATAATTTATCTATTAACTTCTTCTTTGTCCACGAGAAACTGAACGTTGACATGTGTCAAAACTTACGAGTTATTGTTATTCAGACAGAGTTTCAAATAAACGCTTTACATATTAGCTGTAACTAAAGGTTATCGGTACCGTAAGGTGGGGCTATTTGAGACAGTGGGGCTATTTGAGACAGTATTTAAAATTGCTGTAAAATAAAAACCACTTAAGATTCATGCTTAATTTTTTGCTCAGGCGATTTACTGCTCGATTCCACACCTCCCTGTGCAGAAATATCACACAAAAATCAAACGATTTTCATTTTATAGCGATTTTAAATACTGTCTCAAATAGCCCCACTGTCTCAAATAGCCCCACTTTACGGTAACAATGATCATTTAGTTTTTACCGTGCGAGCTCACTAACGTGACCACATGGACCTGAGTCTGACTTCTTAATGAAATGAGGCGTGATCTTATATACAATGACCCATAGACCTCTACATACCCTGCCTATGAGAGGTATGCCTATATGAGAGTGGTATGTAGAGGTCTATGAATGACCTATCGAGATTTTGATATCTAATGCGATTTACAGCTGTTTTAAGTTCACGAGTTACGAGTCAGAAAGTGTCGCCAAACTGTTTTGATTATGTGACACTGTCTTTCTAACTCCCTTTTACGCTTGAAGCCACGTGAGCGTGACACAAGTCGAGCTGGAGGGGACGAAAAACGTCTCCTAATTCCGCCTTGATGCACTACGGTCCGCCCTGGGCATGTTCATAAAAAATAACATAACGTTTGCAAAATTTCAAAAAACGACCGACAAGAAAGCATTTGTAAGCACATACAAAAGGTTTTAGTATCTACCAAGTCCAGGTGACCTGTCGAAAGTTGTCTTTCTGTTTACTCCGTATATGAGCGGCAGCGCTCTTCATTTAAAAGGCTCTAAGCTGGTACGATGGTTTGTTTGTTTCGGTTTTACGGAGGCGTTAATAGTGGGCTCATTATGCAACCAAAGGGCTCTAAACTGCAGATGAGCGTCTAAAAAACAAGGCGAAAGTGCGAACCATCGTTCTATCGTCGGCGAACCAAAGGGAGTCACTATCCTTCCTGGCCGCCGCAGAGGAGCTGACACCGTCACCCCCGCGGCGGTCTGCCGGTCCGCCCTCGGCTCGGCGGTTCGAGTGGCACCCGCGTGGCCGGCGGTGACCCGGGGTCGTCCCAATGCCACCTATCGATGACCCGATATCGGCCGCGACTCACGCCGCCGGTCGGGTCGGGGCGGGGTCGGGCGGGGTCGGGGCGGGTCAGCGGGCCCGCCGCGTGACCTTAGCCTTGAGAACCACGCCGGCACCGCGGCAGAGAGGGTATATAGAGCTCGGTGGCCGGGCCAGAGTCACTCTCAAACCGAGCACACCAGCAACAGCACCATGAGCGCTAAGGTAGGGGCACACCGACCTTTAGCAGAGACGGAACAGGGTTTCTACAGCACCGGTTTCTCTCAGTGGTATAATCGACGTTCCTTTTCACGGCAATGTCTGTATATTTTAATTGCACTGGAAAGTGCAATAAACTGCAGATTTTTTTTACGTCTGATAATTTTTCGTTTGTGTTTTCAATAATGGAACAATAAATGTGTATGTTATTAAACACACAACTACTTTTAACGTCCCTTTTCTGATCGGGTCTGACCTCTAAGAAATGACAGCCCTGTTCGATGGCTTAAACGAGTAATGTAATAAAAGTTTCAATTTTTTCTTTATGTAGTGATATTGACATCAAAGATTACCTAAAAATTCACTATCTGTTATACAGCTATTAAGCACCTTCACTTGACCACTCATCCGGTTAAGCTGTGGCATTCTGTTTTGGCGTTTCAGATTCTTTGCTGTATCGCCCTTTTGGGCGTGGTGTCGGCCGACACCCTATACAGGGGCACTCCGTACCAGCCGCCGTACGGACCGTACAAACCCGCCCCGTACTCGCCCGCCCCGTATTCGCCCGCCCCGTACAAACCCGCTCCGTACAAACCCGCTCCGTACAAGCCTGCTCCGTACAAACCTGCCTACAAGCCCGCCTACAAGCCTGCCTACAAGCCCGAGCACTACGATGACTACAGTGACGTAAGTAAAACCTGTGGATTTTGCTGGAGTCATGTCAATTCTTAATTTATGAAGATAAACGTTTAGCTTACTTAAGCTTATGTGAAAAAGGGTCGAGCACCAGCCTTTTTTTAGTTTGTGCTGGGGAAGTGCAGATTTGTAGCAAAGCAATTAAGGCTGAGATAAAGAACGTTCTGTCATTCAGCAGGTAAGAAGCGTCTATGGGCAGAAACATTAATGGGGGGTTCTATAATTGCCAAGCTGCAATTCTTTACTCGTAGCAGCGGGACATTTCGAAATGCTTAATTTATATCAAGTATTTATATTGGCTTGATTTATATAAAGTAAACGCGTACATCGACAATAAAATGTTAATGGACTGAATCGACCACCGACTATCGCACCGCCCAGACTGAGCTTATCTCGTTAGAACGGTAGTGTTCCGGTGTTCAGGCGACCCGGCCACTCAAGCGGTCACTCTCCTCGGTTGCCAGGGTGGGGTTAAGGGGAAGCGGTGGTCCGTCTCAACCGAAAAGCTCCAATAAGCCTCCTCCTGCAGTGGATAAGCACAGAGACAGATCGGTGACGCACCTGTGCCCTCCTGTCTCCACAGAAGCCGACCGCCTACGCCTTCGGCTACGCCGTCAACGACCACTACACGGGCACCAACTTCGGCCACCAGGAGGAGCGTGACGGTTACGCCACCAAGGGCTCCTACAAGGTCAACCTGCCCGACGGACGCGTCCAGATCGTCAACTACGTCGCCGACGACTACAACGGCTTCAACGCCGAGGTCACCTACGAAGGCGAGGCGTACCACGAGCCCTCGTACGGCCCCAAGCCGGCCTATCATCCCCAGCCGTACAGCTCCAAGCCGGCTCCGTACAAGCCCCCGTACACTCCCCCGTACAAGCCAGTGTACGGATCGTACAAACCCGTCCCCGCCTACCCCTAGACGTGAGGACAGTGTCCGAGATTTAGGGATGAGATTGTCTGTGTGAGCCGTGTGAGTGTGCTGTGCGATCATGGGGCGTTTGGCTGATAAAATAAGAGGGTATATGGTGCTCCACAAATGTGTGGTTGACTTCGGGGGCTCGTTCTGTCACGATTGATGTTCATCAGCATGCTTAAAAGGCTAAGAAGAAATGCTGAAATTTTGTGTGAAAATGCTTAGGTATTTAAACGGTGTGATACGAATTTGCTATGTGTTGTTTGCTGATTGCTCGCTTTAACTATAGGCACTGGTTACAGTTAAACTGCGGAAACATTGAATCCACGTTTTTCTCTTTTATAGTATCTGCCCGCCGAATGTATGGACCGATTTCAACTTAGAACTATCTATTTCAATTTAACTTTGCCCTGTATTGGTGACTGGCCATCGTCTTTCAGCAGAACATCCGAGGTACAAACTTAGTGCAGAAGCTGCCATTGAAAGCGGAATGAGTGTCAATGAATGTTGTGTGAATTTCATGTCTGTCGATGTTCACTTCGAACGATGCATGCATATTTTGAAATAAAGTACAACATAATTTTTCAGCGTTTATAGACCAAATGGAAGAAATATTTTCAGTCTGCATTCCAGCGGGGCAAGCACTACGGCGCATCATTCGGTGGCCAACTCAATCCAATGTATACCCTTATCCTCTTATTACGTGGCCCTGAAACGGTCTCAATAGACTGCAAGGGAAATGGAGCGTAACCAAACGACACAAGTAACCAAACAGGGATATTTTAAACGTCAAGCTATCCATTGAAACGACCGATAGGGGATAAATCATTTTAAAGGGACCCTCCCACCTTCAAAAAAGTTAATGAATTGGCATGAAAGTGATGTCGCTCGGTTCAGAAAGAGCAAAAACGAATATCTACCAAATTTCATCGAAAAATATTCACCGGTTTTCAAGATATTAGACTTTTACTTTTGTTTACTTTTTGGGATCTCCGCTGTTCCTAGCGACTTTATTTGAAAGTGCGGCATTTGTTGCGCGCAAAGCAGCATATACCACCGCGTGCTACAAAACGTTTTAGTCAAACATTTAACGGACGTTCGAAAGCCTGATGACGTCATCAGATTCCCGTAATGGTTAAGAGATAGGGACCACGCTGGTCCCACCCTGCAAGTAAAGGGAAGAAATTTCTTGAACACCATAAAGCGGCGGGGGTTGCGACCAGGATAAATGGTGGTTTCTGAGCCTGGCCGCAAACTTGGCTATCTCAACTCAAAACTAATGTTAAGGTGGGAGGGTCCCTTTAAGTGAGCTACGAGAACGGTGTGAATTTTTAAGCAAACCTGATGTCTACATTTCATTGACAAATGAACAAAAATAAACATAAAACAAACCGGATAAAAGTGCAAAGTTGGCTGTTGTCATAAGAGTGTCACAAAAGGCCACGCAACGTTAACCACGCAGATCAAGTGAATATGTAGTTTTATATAATTTCGAATTTTCCTGAATCCAGACGAGTTTGTTACAATGTACAAACACACATAAAACGCTTTTCATTTACCTATAACCGTTCAGCGCACTTAGAGATGAGAGAAACGATAATCCGCGATGCCGAAATACGTTTATCTTTTTTTTCTGTATGACCCAGCCTCGGCTTACGCCGCCGACGGTGGGCCAGTAACACCGTCGTGGGCTGTTCACCGGTAACTCATTTTCGCCGCCGAACAAGCGCAGCTCATGTTTCCTGTGTCTTTTCCGCCCCAGAGTGCGTTGACCCCAACTTAATACGTGGCAGCGCCGACCCTCAACGGATGCTTATACTACAATCACAGCTTCTTGGCAGACACTTGAGACGGTTTGGTTGTGGGCGTGGCTTTTCTAGTACCTACCTAAATTGTTCCTGTAAGCCACGACGTGCATGGCTTCCAACAACCCTTGTCGCAGTCACAGCTGAGTCGCGAAAGCAGCTTTTCGAGGAACACTGATTGCATGACCGGGAGCATTACCTACATTGAAAGTACACCAATATCCACAAAAATACAGCAGTTTATTAATGGCGTCATTTATAACTGATATAATTTTTCAATCGTAACCGAAGGTTTGTTGTCAATAGTTAAAACACTATTCTTTAGAATTGTGTTTTTCTATTGAAAAACAAATCTGAGTTCCCTGACAATTTGGCAAAAGCTGCCTGAGATCAGCAGACATTTATGCACTCTGCAGTCTGCATACAATACTCCGTAGCATTACCCGAAACCGGAGCATAGTAAGTTTGTCATGAAAACGTCATCAGTTATGAATTAGCAAACCAATGTTCTTCAGCGTTTTTCTGGAGCTTCATAAAAAACAAATGCTTGTTTTATTTCCAAGCGGGCACCCATACGTTGTATATACGAGTATGTACGACTAATTACTCGAAGTTCTTAGAGCGCGGGAAAGAATCATCGCAAAGCAAAGACGATACTCTTTTCATTCCTTGGATCCGTTGCCGTAATTCGAAGTAATTTTGGAATACTTATGATGACGCGCCTTCTAGATAAACACCAGTAAGACGCCTTTAAGGGTACCAAACGAGAAACGAGGGAGCTTCACTCGCAGAAGAGCGAGGGGGTATACTATACTCCCAACTGACTTGTGCAGTGTGCACGGCACCCTATTAACCGGCGCCTAGTCGTGTGCCAAATCTGAGCGCAATCGGCCCAGCTGTTCTTGAGGTCTGGAAACGGCACCCTTGTGTGGAAGTGGCTGTAAAAAACGTTTAGATACCTACGTATTTGTAAAAAAAAGTTTTCTTCTATAACTTTTGTCACAAAGCTTGCATGACATCAGCGTTTCCGCTTGCCACAATCGTGCTTCTTCCATCGAGACGCTTTGAATGAAATATGATGTCACCTCAAAGGGTTGACTTTCGACCTCGGCCATGGTCAATGGTCAGGAGGATGCAGGTGAGGGATGCTGTTGAAACATCATTGAGAAGATGTAGGTAAACAAGCATTCATATACTTACTCTATTTTAAAGTATTTGCCGTCTAATTATGACCACAAGCGCACATTTTATGACCATTGTTTGCACCGATGTAATTAGCGCATCAGCGCTTACTAATGCTACCCCGCCCTACAGAAGACAAGCGACGAGCAGGATCACCTGACAAACAGAGGTAAAAACACACGGCAGCCGTGTGAAGCCGAGCCGACTCGGTGACAAAAACATCCGTTCGCACAGCTGAGACGTCTCATCGTCTCATCTCCAGACAATGGCTACATGCAGTTTGTAGTGCTCACCGCGCGGTCTCTGATGGCTCTTCGGCCGCCGGGGGCCCTCCCGGAGGGAGCTCTGGGCCGCCGATGGGGCATTGTTTATCCTCCCAGTCAGTTGATACCACAGTCGGCCGACCCTCCGACCCGGCAGACGGCCGCGCCGCAGGGGTGCGATTGGATGACCCCGTTTCTCCCGGTCCACACATGACTACGATAAACAATGACCGACCCGACGGCGGTCCGAGGTCCCGGGTCAACACAGGTCAAGGTCGCGCCCCGATCCTATGGAAACGACAATACTGGTATCGTAAATTTACGGCTGAGGGTTGAGTTCGTGCGATACTCGTATCGATATCGATCAAAGGGCGGGGCGGGGCGGACCGGGCGTGCCACGATATAGCTATCGTACGCTTCTCAATAGGATCGTCTTTGTGTTCTTCATCACAGAGTGTGTCAGGCAAGGAGGGCTCAACCTAACCAGCTTTGTTTGTCTTACAGGCCCTTCACCTTACGGAAAATGAAAGGCATCACGCAAGAGTAAGTTGTGAATGAAAGAGTATCCCTACTGTAAAACTTTCATACTGAAGTAGTTAGGTGTATAAACAAAGAATACCAGTCTATGTATATGACGTGTACATTAGGATAAGTTAACATTCAATTATTAAAATCAAAATTATACAAAATGTACCTATCTTTCGAGCACTTTCATCCATCTGTTGAAGGAGCAAATTGAATGGAATGCATTTTAGCTCTAAATGTAGGGATGCATACTTGCATAGTAGGAATTGAGGTTACCGTCTTTACGCTGGTACAGCCGGTACACCAGAAAAGTTCGCATTAGCGATGGCGATTGGCGATAGATTGCATTACTTGCATTCATATACCTATCTATAAGTTTTGCAGAAAGGACGCGCGGCAATAAGGAGACCTGGCGCAGCATGGACATTTTCCCCTACCTAACGATTTAACCCTCGCCGGACCTATTGGTTTTCTACATACGCGCCGGTCGAGGGGGGGGGGTACGACGGGTAAGACCCCCCTCGCCGTTTCGCCCCTGGTGGAGCTAGCGCGTCGCGGAAAAAAATGAGCGTGTGCGCCGTTACAAGACGCAGAGGTTGGTACCCGATTTTAAGGCCCTAGGTCAACCGGTGACCTCTGAGGTCAGGTCAAGTGCCCCAAGGTACGGTTCAGTTTTTGGTAAATAACGTCGCCAAAAACGGCCGCAGAGCCGCGATTTTGGCAGCATCGTGTTCGCCTTGCTCAGACGCGTCGAATGATATACTTTTTCTTTGGGTCAAGTCAACTTTGAGTGTTGACCTCAGGTCACGGCTAGGTCAGCGTCCTCGGGTCACGAAGCTGCGAAAGAGGTCATGTCGCATATCATTCGATTCGGCAGGTCTTCCTGAGTCCATTGGTGGCTTTCCCGACTCGCTAGCTCGATTTGATCGGGAGTTATTGACGAAAGACTAGTATGAACTTGATGACGTCATAAATGACGTCCCGCAAGGTCAACATTGCAAAAGTGACGCATCTACCCTTGCAAGGAGTGCATCAAATCACGATTCTGTGTGCTTGAGATAGTTGGAGATCGTTCCCGGCACCAGAATAGCAATTTTCATTTTTCCCCATTGACTTATAGGTAATGGTGAGGTCACGAAACTGACCTGACCTCATATGACCTTCAGGAAAAAATCCGAGATATATATGTTGTTAGACTCGTAATGGATACTAGATCCTGCAAGTTTCATTTCCCTGTGAAAGCTCCTCTGGCAGTGAGGGCGTTGCGAAGTTGCGACATCTGAAGACCGTGCAGAGGTTCACTTATGACGTCATAGGTCAGTGACCTGATCTGACTCGAAAATGTGGTTGGTGTCAAAAGATCCGGCTTGAATCAAAGGTCAGTTATGCCAAGTTTCAGCTTTCTATCGCCAGCGTGTTCGGAGCTATCGCGAAAAAAACCTATGGGGGGGGGGCGGCACCCCCCTCGGCCGGCGAGGATTAAGTTATTGGGACGGTCACGGACAAAATATTAACGCACTGATCAGGTGGAATACCTATGCCATTTTCTGTAAAAAAGATGTCTTTAATTGACTAAATTGCAATGCAAAACCTCGTAAACTCATATGATAATATTTAAACTGATCGGACGCACCGATATTGCATTCTTAAGGGCTTCGACGGATTTGTGAGTAATATGGCTTCCTTATGTAAGCTACTGACGATGTAACATCAAACCATACCGCCCACAATCGGCGTCGTGTCCCTAGTGGCAGGTCTCCATGACTGCTGACGGAGTCGTGGGGCGCGCAGTTAACCCTGACCCGGGCGCGCCGGGGCGGCCGCCACCGGCGCGGCGCCCGGGCGTTGCCACAACACGAGAGCAGTGCTGACGTAGCGGGCCGGCGTGCTGGCCGGGCGCGGCGACCCGCTGGGTAACCGTCGCGCCCTCACCGGTGCGTCGATCAATCCTGCTCACTCCCGGCGGCCGGTCACGACGCGGCGCGACCGCCGAAATCACAGTCGCGCCGCCAAAGGGCCGCCGGGGTACGCTGCTGCTGGGGGCGGAACAGGAGCTCCGACTGAGGATCGGAGAAAATCTCCAACCACACGCCTACATACCTATTTGGACACCTTCGCGTGATAGGTGCTGGATACCGCGCAAGTCGCGACCAGATGATTAGCACTTATAGACGGATTCATTCATTAATGTGGTGAATAATTTAGGCATACCGATTAGTTAGATGATTAGGCTTTGAACAAATAAAAACAACGAAAAATAAGAAACCTTAAATAAAAAGCTCACAACTTGGCATAATCTGGTAATAGCTCATGTCTCATTGCGAAGTCACAAACAGAGATATTTTGCAAACAAATGTGGCGTTCTCGCACGACCTTGCCGGCTGCTGCGTGCTGTTAATGACGACGTATCTAAATTGCAGTTTGCACCAAACAAGTCCACACTGTCATTATATCAATAATTGGAGCTCACACTCGTGCAGCACTCACACGTTTCGTGATAAGATCACGACAGACGTGACTCATCCTCATTCATGGACCCCGGCGCAAAGTATAGAGTCCCTTCCCTTCGCCAGGTTAGCGCTCAAACCATAGCACAGTGGGGACAGCTCAGCTGTGCCACGTTGATGGCTTACGTGTCGCGTGCGACGGCGTCGTTCCGCCACCCCTCCCTCCCCCTCCTACCGACGTCAAGCTGTCGATGTGAATTGCCGGCTGAGGTTGGTTGCCCCCTCCCTCCCCCTCCTGGGCGAGTGAAAAACGTCGTGCACCCCGGCCGCATCGATTGCCCAGCGTCGGCCGTGCATACATACCATCGTCCATGAGAGACCTTGAGACACGCAGGGAGAGTCGCCTCAGGCGGAGCGGTACTGACTTCGTACACTAGGTGACCGCAGGAAACTATCGAGGTGACTTAGGGGGGTTCTGATTGGGACATTAAGAATAATCAGAAAATACCTATCGGTCAAAATAACGCTATCATCATCGGGACAAGAAAATTTGGTCATTGGTTACAAACGTGATATGTATAGCCCTTCCCGGCAATTTGTACGCTTGAACAACAGAGCCCTTCAATTAGACAAAAAAAAAAACGTGTTCAGTCACTGATATCGTCGTTCCTTCCGTTCATAGGAAAAAAGTTCGCCGAATGAAGTTATCCTCACTAGAATTTAGCATTTCAATTTGGGGACATTCTTCCTTCATTCCTTCCCTTTCATTCTCCGAAACATTCCTCTGTTTCTGCTCCTTCACGGGGCAGGTTCCCGAAATCCTCTTCACAGAGTCAATTCTGGTAATCCCCGTTATTCTTGCAACTCTGATCTGCATCCCGTGGTCCTTCACGCATTCTTTAATTTTTTGGACCCCTAGACTGGTCTCTGTGGTCTGAACAGTGGACACCCTGCTTCCGGTCCGTGGCGGTCCGTTCTCCCCGATCCCCTAATCTGGTCTCGGTGGTCCTGTGTCAGGTCCGTGACGGTCCACTGGCGGGGGTCCGGCTTCGTGCTTGTCCGTCAAGTGTTCCCTGGTCCCCTGGACAGGTCTCGGTGGTCCGTCCGCGTGGTGCCTGGTTCCCTGGTCTGTCCCGTGTCCCCTGGTCCCCCTGGTCTGGTAGGTATCGGTGGTCCAGACCGTGAAGATTCGGCCCGCCGGTGTAGGTCCTGGTTCCCGCGCCCTGTCTCCCTGGACTGGTCCGGTCTGGTCTGATCTGGGTGATCCGATCCGTGGCGGTTCGCCGGCGCGGCTCCGGGTCTGTCCCGATCCCCTAATCCCCTGGTCTGGTCTGGTCTGGTCTGGTCTGGTCCGGTCCGGTCTCGGTGGATGGTCCCTGACGGTCCGCCGGCGCGGGTCCGGCTCGGCTGCTGGTGACCGGCTGTTGACGCCGCCAGTTACTGCGGTGACCCGACCAACGGCTCGATAGTGTCCGGACAACGGGTGGCCGCGGGCCGACACAGGGGCCGCGCCGGCCGGCCGGGCACGGGGCCATAGAGCGCGCCCGCCACCTCCAGCCGACGGGACCAGAGCCGGCCGACTCTGCGCCGGCCGCTATGTGAAGTGGCGGCCCGGCCAACACCGCAACACGCAGAGCAAGTAAGTGAGCGATACTCCCGGCCAACACCGCAACACGCAGAGCAAGTAAGTGGGCGATACTCCCGGCCAACACCGCAACACGCAGAGCAAGTAAGTGGGCGATACTCCCGGCCAACACCGCAACACGCAGAGCAAGTAAGTGGGCGATACTCCAGGCCAACACCGCAACACGCAGAGCAAGTAAGTGGGCGATACTCCAGGCCAACACCGCAATACGCAGAGCAAGTATGTAAGTGGGCGATACTCCCGGCCAACACCGCAACACTCAGAGCAAGTAAGTGGGCGATACTCCAGGCCAACACCGCAATACGCAGAGCAAGTAAGTGAGAGAGTGGCAAAACCAGCTAAACCACAACAGGTAGAGCAAGTAAGTGCGAGAGTGACAACCTTGCAAAACTACGTCGAGCAGACAAGTCAGTGCGAGAGTGGCAAAATCAACTCCAAACCAAGCAGTCAGAGCAATATCCAAGTATGACTGTGAGGTGGCAATTGGTCAGAATGAAGCCGATCGACGGCCACACTGTCCTGTGTAGTCGCGAGGTTGGATGAGACAGGTCACTGACGGGACTTTATAGATGCTATGAAGGTGATCAATGCAGTAACAATGACATATTGCAGGAGCAATCAGTGGCGACAACGTATTATCCCACAAAACATTTTGGAGCGACAGGCTCACTTTCTGGGGGGGGGGGGGGCCCGGACTACAGTGGTCATCGGCGAGGCTCACTTTCTGAGGCGTCGGTGATTTATTATGGATCACTATATTTTAGCGCTATAGGTAGTGCCGCTTCGTTCGGGTGATGTCCAGAAAATTAGTTTCAGTCACGCTTGAGCATGCCTAAAAGTTTCCAGAATTTTTTTTCGCATTAATCGCTTTAGTTTGTCTTCCATTAGAAATGTATGCAACTTCAAGAGTTAAATCGCTTGAGCCACCATTCGTGCACAACGTTGATCTTGCTAGCGGATTAGTTGATCATACCAGATGAACCCTGATAATGATGGCTAAAACGTTTTACCAGAGAGATAGGTATGTTACCTACTGGATGACATGAAGCATGGAATCTACTTCCCTACTTATATATCGCTGCACTCTATAACTTATTTATTTCTCTGGTGACGAACAACCACTTCTTGTGAGTAACCACTTTCAATGTGAGATTTCCAAATGAGATAGGCGTAGCGCCATTACTAACTAGCTCAACTTAATGGTATCGTACCGCATCGTGTCGTACTCCTCGATGCTAGCTCTCAATCAACACAAGAACCTCTTTTTATGCAACAAATTTACCAAGATCTCAAATTGTGGACAACTCTCAAAGCACCATATAAACTAAACCTAAACATAAAAAGTGGGATGATAAGTACAGGGTGGGCCGAAATAAAGTACCTTGAAATTTTTGTCTCGTGCTTTTCAAGCGCACGTGCTGCATTTGTGATTTTTCGCATGCCGACTGCAAACCATATGGCAAGATAGATTATCAGAAAACTTCACTTGAAAAATGTGGTCCGACACACAAAAATCGTTTTGCGTTGAGACTTATGTCTTGACGAACTCTCTTGATGACACCAGGCGGCAGTATCTAAAGAAGTTCGGTCTGGACCATCGGAGGCTCGACCTTGCACCGGGGAACAAGTCTATCCAGAAGTGGGTAGCTAATGCAATTTTCGGGTATGGGTAGCTAATGGGTATGGGTAGCTAATGCAATTTTCATATGCGTGGGTAGCTAAGTTTCGAAATTTCGGAACGGTGGTAAAAACCAAGCCGCCCGGGAGAGGTCGCACGGTCAGATCTGAGGCCAACATTCAACGGGTATCCGCCTCTACCCTTCAGAGCCCAAAAAGATCCACTCGGCGTCGCTCTCAGGCACTGAATATCAGCAGGACAACTCTGCGGAGAATCATGAAAGAAGATCTTGGACTGTACCCGTACCGGCTTTCAATACATCAGAAGCTATCATCATGCGACAGGGAGCGTCGGGTCGCCATGGCCGAGTGGTTCGAACACAACCCACGTGTGTTCAGCAAGCTGTGATTCAGTGACGAGGCTCACTTCTGGCTGAACGGATATGTCAACACCCACAATGCTGTGCACTGGGGCAAGGAACCACCAGATGAGGTCCTCTGCAGGCCTGTTCACTGCGAGAAGGTTACGGCGTGGTTGGCGACGCGGCACGGCGGGGGAACTATCGGTCCCTTCTTCTTTGAAAATGAAAACGAAGTGGCGACAACGATCAACTCTGCTCGCTATGTCAGCACAGCGCTGGAGCCGTTCTGGAGAGAACTCGGGGAGAGGCCACTCAGGCGTAACCAAGAGTGGTTCCAGCAGGATGGTGCCACACCCCACACTGCTTGCGCATTGATGGATTGGGTTCGAAGTCACTTCCCGGATCGACACATCAGCCTGAAGTCGGCCGTTCCATGGGCCCCTCACTCTCCTGACCTGAGTCCCCTGGACTTTTTCATGTGGGGTTAAGGACCGGGTATATGCGGGAAGACCGGCAACCACTCACGAGCTCAAGACCGCCATAGTCCAGGAGGTGGACCGTATCCCCGCTGACATGGTCGACAAGGCCATCATCCATCTCAAGGAAGTTCGTCTACCGCTGGTGAAGCAGCGCCGCGGTGCCCACCTGGAGCACATCCTGTGAGGTGTGAGCGGCTGACAGATGCGGACAATAGTGCGCAGTGAGTTTTGCCATTTCATTGTAATTCGAAATATACCTGGTTTACCATTGTACCATTGTAAATATACATGTTATCGAAAGAAAACTGAAGTTACTTCATTTTGGCCCACCCTGTACCTACGCTAACGTGAAAACTTGTGCGGAACAACTATGCATATAAGATACAATAGGTACATATGTGTGACGGGACGGGACATGACAAAACAGTCGGTGTCGTCAGCGTTACTCAGCGTGTGACGTCAGAGCTGACACCTACCTCCGCGGCCTTCGCCTGTGGCGATAGCAGCGGAGAGGGGGGAGGGGGAGGGCACCCGTCTGCAACAGGGAGGGCGGGCATGATCTTTGGAGGACATCACTCATCGGATGATCGCCGAGCTTCCATATGGCAGCTCCATGCATCGTGCCCTCTGAGCAGGATGAGCCGCATTTATTAGACCGAGAAATGGCGGGAATTAAAAAATTTCTAAGTTCTAAAATAAAATAGTAATTAGCATTTTCGCAGACGTTAAATTGATTGGGTTGCAGCAAAAGGCAAAATATACCAATTACTCTTCGTCAAATACACATAGATATCTCTAGCGCCGTATAAGCAGCGTACCTATCTATATAATGGATATGGAGAAACATAGATAATGGATAGATATAAGGAAAGAGAATGGAATAGATACACCTATAGGGAAGAGAGAGGAAAGAAGAGAGAGAGGAGAGAGAGGGGAGAGAGAAAGAGAGAGAGGGAGAGAGAGAAAGAGAGAGAGAGAGAGAGAGAGAGAGAGAGAGAGAGAGAGAGAGAGAGAGAGAGAGAGAGAGAGAGAGAGAGAGAGAGAGAGAGAGAGAGAAAGAGAAAGAGAAAGAGAAAGAGAAAGAGAAAGAGAGAAAGAGAAGAGAGAGAGGTTTGCTATTGTGGAACGCTCATCACATTCCAGCTAAACGCAAAGGTCCAGCCGGCGGCAGCACGGCTGAACTGCGCCCGCCAGCAGCCATGACGACCGGAGACTGCAGCTGATCAAGAGAAGGTAACACCGGCGCTCGCATGGTGACTGGCTCACTGATCTCTCCGGTTTCAGTGCAATGAATAATAATGGCGAGTGATAAAGGCGCTGTGGTTTCTTTAAAGATAATACCTCTATATGACGGCAATAAGGCGGCCATTTATCATGTCTTGATTGTTCGGTTGTTCGTTGCGCTGGGTTTCCAGGCGAACGCGACGAACCATGGGCGAGGGGGAGGGTATTAGGCATTGGCGCCTTGCGATTCCGCGGAACCGTTGGTCGTAGAGAGTCGGAGAAGGCTGGAATCGAAAACCCTCCGCATATAACATTTTTTGGGACCTTTGTAATGCTTTTTATGTTGAGGTGACAGGTTAAGTCAAGTTCAGCAGATGCCACAATCAAAAGTTTCGACGTGCTCGCTTTCGAGCCCGGACGGCGAAACGTTTAGTTTAGCCTGCAGAACTATACGTCTGAACTTTAAACCTAGAAAGAACAAGTAGGTACTTTAGTTGGAACATTAAGCACAAGGTCAGGTCACCAAATGCCATAATAAATCAGCGCCAAATACATGGGATCGAGGCACAGGTTTTTAATTGTCTTTATTTTGCTCGTAAGACACAGCAGTTAGGACCGATTAAGTGATTTGAAATGCTGAGCTATAACACTTTAAAATTTGCAGGAGCTACTTTAAATAATTTTCATTATTCCGAAAAATACTTCAGCAAAACATTTGGTGCGAATTAGTCTTCAAAGTATGTGGAAGCTGGAGCAGCAACTCCAATTCGCACCTGATAGACGATGCTGTTGCTGTAACCGCCCAGTTGAATTGGAGAACGTTGACCTCGCATGTTGCGTGCTACTCAGAAACTCAGACTATTCGATGGCACAAGGACAGGCGTTTTAGCGGCGAACGACACTCTAGAATAGACAACACCTGTCCCTCGCCCACCTATGGAATCACGGCATATTCATAATGCAACAGGAATATGGTATCGATCGAGTCGAAATGGCGGCAGACCTTGGCAATATCATTGAGCGAGATTGCGGTGAATTCCATCCTATCACCCATCATTTGTAGAGCAGGATAGGCTCTACCAATGCCATTTCTTTGGCCGCTTCAACAAGCACGTAGAACGTGCTATTTAGAAATATGTCACAGGCTGTAAGCAGCCCATTTCAACATTTCAACAACAAAGAATGAACGTCCCTTGCTGTATTTCGAACGTTGCTGACGATTCTCTGCTGTTGCAGGCAGAAGGATGCGCGCTCTCGGGCTGGCTGGCACTCTGTTGGTCATCTCCGCAGCTCTCATTATCCAGCCGGCAATAACCGAAGCCGCCGAAGGTGAGCACGCACGAGTCGGTGGAATCAGGGGTAGTCGGTGCATATTCTCCATAGGTGTGTAGTTGTGTCATTCTCCATTGCACATCTAGGGATAGGACAGACTCAGTGCACACCGTTTAAAATCTCTGAGTCACAGGATGACTGACAAACCCAGTTGAGTCCGTGACATCTGTCTGCACCTCCCGTGCAGATGTGGACGGCGGCTGGACGGTCTGGTCGCTGGGCGGTAACTCGTGTAACGCCACGTGCGGCACCGGATACTACCGAAAGCTGCGCACGTGCTCCAACCCGAGTCCGCAGGGCGCCGGCCAGCAGTGCCTCAAGCAGGACGGCGTCACCCGGGCCCTACAGGAGATCTCCATAGCCGAGTGCAACACTCACCCGTGCGCTAGCGGTGAGTCTCAGCCAGCAGTGTTTGTACGGCATGTAGGACGAGCCGATTGCTTATGCGGTCATCTTGTGATCGTTCGGAGCCAGGCAGCGCGAAGCAGCAGCGGAGATGGCCGTAGCTTAATTTGCATGCTTCTTGATGGCTGATTGTTCTTATGCATACAAGGTAACGGCATTGCCAGACAATAACCGTGTTTACATAGGGTTCCCTTAATCTTCCCCTATTTGTCTCTTAAATGTCCCTTATAAAGGAATCCTCTGTCTCCTTTACCTCGCTTCACTACAAATATGGCGCAACTAAGTCATTCTAGAAGCAGTTTGCAATTTTTACTTACCTTTAGGGCTCTCCCAAATACGTCTGTCAAACTAGCAGCGAGCAGCGAGCAGCGAGTCCAGCAGCGAGAAACGGGCCATCCCGATTTAGCTGAAATTTGGCTCACAGAGCCTTCTCAGCACGCTGATTCCGAAAATCATGGTCTCTAGGGTGGAAATATTGACCGTTCTCGAGATAGAACCCTCTAAAGTTCTTACCATCCATGACCGGGCCATCCCGATTTGGCTGAAAATTGGCTCACAGAGCCTTCTCAGCACGCTGATTCCGAAAATCATGGTCTCTAGGGTGGAAATATTGACCGTTCTCGAGATAGAACCCTCTAAAGTTCTTACCACCCATGACCGGGCCATCCCGATTTGGCTGAAAATTGGCTCACAGAGCCTTCTCAGCACGGTGATTCCGAAAATCATGGTCTCAAGGGTGGAAATATTGACCGTTCTCGAGATAGAACCCTCTAAAGTTCTTACCACCCATGACCGGGCCATCCCGATTTGGCTGAAAATTGGCTCACAGAGCCTTCTCAGCACGCTGATTCCGAAAATCATGGTCTCAAGGGTGGAAATATTGACCGTTCTCGAGATAGAACCCTCTAAAGTTCTTACCACCCATGACCGGGCCATCCCGATTTGGCTGAAAATTGGCTCACAGAGCCTTCTCAGCACGCTGATTCCGAAAATCATGGTCTCTAGGGTGGAAATATTGACCGTTCTCGAGATAGAACCCTCTAAAGTTCTTACCACCCATGACCGGGCCATCCCGATTTGGCTGAAAATTGGCTCACAGAGCCTTCTCAGCACGCTGATTCCGAAAATCATGGTCTCTTGGGTGGAAATATTGACCGTTCTCGAGATAGAACCCTCGCAGCGAGTCCGGCAGCGAGAAACGGGCAATCCCGATTTCGCTGAAATTTGGCTCACAGAGCCTTCTCAGCACGCTAATTCCGAAAATCATGGTCTCTAGGGTGGAAATATTGACCGTTCTCGAGATAGAACCCTCTAAAGTTCTTACCACCCATGACCGGGCCATCCCGATTTGGCTGAAAATTGGCTCACAGAGCCTTCTCAGCACGCTGATTCCGAAAATCATGGTCTCTAGGGTGAAAAAATTGACCATACTCGAGATAGAACCCTCTAAAGTTCTTACCATCCATGACCGGGCCATCCCGATTTGGCTGAAATTTGGCTCACAGAGCCTTCTCAGCACGCTGATTCCGAAAATCATGGTCTCTAGGGTGGAAATATTGACCGTTCTCGAGATAGAACCCTCGCAGCGAGTCCAGCAGCGAGAAACGGGCCATCCCGATTTAGCTGAAATTTGGCTCACAGAGCCTTATCAGCACACTGATTCCGAAAATCATGGTCTCTAGGGTGGAAATATTGACCATTCTCGAGATAGAACCCTCTAAAGTTCTTACCACCCATGACCGGGCCATCCCGATTTGGCTGAAAATTGGCTCACAGAGCCTTCTCAGCACGCTGATTCCGAAAATCATGGTCTCTTGGGTGGAAATATTGACCGTTCTCGAGATAGAACCCTCGCAGCGAGTCCAGCAGCGAGAAACGGGCCATCCCGATTTAGCTGAAATTTGGCTCACAGAGCCTTCTCAGCACGGTGATTCCGAAAATCATGGTCTCTAGGGTGGAAATATTGACCGTTCTCGAGATAGAACCCTCTAAAGTTCTTACCACCCATGACCGGGCCATCCCGATTTGGCTGAAAATTGGCTCACAGAGCCTTCTCAGCACGCTGATTCCGAAAATCATGGTCTCTTGGGTGGAAATATTGACCGTTCTCGAGATAGAACCCTCGCAGCGAGTCCAGCAGCGAGAAACGGGCCATCCCGATTTAGCTGAAATTTGGCTCTCGAGCCTTCTCAGCACGGTGATTCCGAAAATCATGGTCTCTAGGGTGGAAATATTGACCGTTCTCGAGATAGAACCCTCTAAAGTTCTTACCACCCATGACCGGGCCATCCCGATTTGGCTGAAAATTGGCTCACAGAGCCTTCTCAGCACGCTGATTCCGAAAATCATGGTCTCTAGGGTGGAAACATTGACCATTCTCGTGATAGAACCCTCTAAAGTTCTTACCATCCATGACCGGGCCATCCCGATTTGGCTGAAAATTGGCTCACAGAGCCTTCTCAGCACGCTGATTCCGAAAATCATGGTCTCTAGGGTGGAAATATTGACCGTTCTCGAGATAGAACCCTCTAAAGTTCTTACCACCCATGACCGGGCCATCCCGATTTGGCTGAAAATTGGCTCACAGAGCCTTCTCAGCACGGTGATTCCGAAAATCATGGTCTCAAGGGTTGAAATATTGACCGTTCTCGAGATAGAACCCTCTAAAGTTCTTACCACCCATGACCGGGCCATCCCGATTTGGCTGAAAATTGGCTCACAGAGCCTTCTCAGCACGCTGATTCCGAAAATCATGGTCTCTTGGGTGGAAATATTGACCGTTCTCGAGATAGAACCCTCGCAGCGAGTCCAGCAGCGAGAAACGGGCCATCCCGATTTAGCTGAAATTTGGCTCACAGAGCCTTCTCAGCACGCTGATTCCGAAAATCATGGTCTCTAGGGTGGAAATATTGACCGTTCTCGAGATAGAACCCTCTAAAGTTCTTACCACCCATGACCGGGCCATCCCGATTTGGCTGAAAATTGGCTCACAGAGCCTTCTCAGCACGCTGATTCCGAAAATCATGGTCTCTAGGGTGGAAATATTGACCGTTCTCGAGATAGAACCCTCTAAAGTTCTTACCACCCATGACCGGGCCATCCCGATTTGGCTGAAAATTGGCTCACAGAGCCTTCTCAGCACGCTGATTCCGAAAATCATGGTCTCTAGGGTGGAAATATTGACCGTTCTCGAGATAGAACCCTCTAAATTTCTTACCACCCATGACCGGGCCATCCCGATTTGGCTGAAAATTAGTTCACAGAGCCTTCTCAGCACGCTGATTCCGAAAATCATGGTCTCTGGGGTGGAAATATTGACCGTTCTCGAGATAGAACCCTCTAAAGTTCTTACCATCCATGACCGGGCCATCCCGATTTGGCTGAAAAGTGGCTCACAGAGCCTTCTCAGCACGCTGATTCCGAAAATCATGGTCTCTAGGGTGGAAATATTGACCGTTCTCGAGATAGAACCCTCTAAAATTCTTACCACCCATGACCGGGCCATCCCGATTTGGCTGAAAATTGGCTCACAGAGCCTTCTCAGCACGGTGAATCCGAAAATCATGGTCTCAAGGGTGGAAATATTGACCGTTCTCGAGATAGAACCCTCTAAATTTCTTACCACCCATGACCGGGCCATCCCTATTTGGCTGAAAATTGGCGCACAGAGCCTTCTCAGCACGGTGATTCCGAAAATCATGGTCTCAAGGGTGGAAATATTGACCGTTCTCGAGATAGAACCCTCTAAAGTTCTTACCACCCATGACCGGGCCATCCCGATTTGGCTGAAAATTGGCTCACAGAGCCTTCTCAGCACGCTGATTCCGAAAATCATGGTCTCTAGGGTGGAAATATTGACCGTTCTCGAGATAGAACCCTCTAAAGTTCTTACCATCCATGACCGGGCCATCCCGATTTGGCTGAACGGTCAATATTTCCAACCTAGAGACCATGATTTTCGGAATCAGCGTGCTGAGAAGGCTCTGTGAGCCAATTTTCAGCCAAATCGGGATGGCCCGGTCATGGGTGGTGAACTTTAGAGGGTTCTATCTCGAGAACGGTCAATATTTCCACCCTAGAGACCATGATTTTCGGAATAAGCGTGCTGAGAAGAATCTGTGAGCCAATTTTCAGCCAAATCGGGATGGCCCGGTCATGGATGGTAAGAACTTTAGAGGGTTCTATCTCGAGAACGGTCAATATTTCCACCCTAGAGACCATGATTTTCGGAATCAGCGTGCTGAGAAGGCTCTGTGAGCCAATTTTCAGCCAAATCGGGATGGCCCGGTCATGGATGGTAAGAACTTTAGAGGGTTCTATCTCGAGAACGGTCAATATTTCCACCCTAGAGACCATGATTTTCGGAATCAGCGTGCTGAGAAGGCTCTGTGAGCCAATTTTCAGCCAAATCGGGATGGCCCGGTCATGGGTGGTAAGAACTTTAGAGGGTTCTATCTCGAGAACGGTCAATATTTCCACCCTAGAGACCATGATTTTCGGAATCACCGTGCTGAGAAGGCTCTGTGAGCCAATTTTCAGCCAAATCGGGATGGCCCGGTCATGGGTGGTAAGAACTTTAGAAGGTTCTATCTCGAGAACGGTCAAGATTTCCACCCTAGAGACCATGATTTTCGGAATCAGCGTGCTGAGAAGGCTCTGTGAGCCAAATTTCAGCTAAATCGGGATGGCCCGTTTCTCGCTGCTGGACTCGCTGCGAGGGTTCTATCTCGAGAACGGTCAATATTTCCACCCAAGAGACCATGATTTTCGGAATCAGCGTGCTGAGAAGGCTCTGTGAGCCAATTTTCAGCCAAATCGGGATGGCCCGGTCATGGGTGGTAAGAACTTTAGAGGGTTCTATCTCGAGAATGGTCAATATTTCCACCCTAGAGACCATGATTTTCGGAATCAGTGTGCTGATAAGGCTCTGTGAGCCAAATTTCAGCTAAATCGGGATGGCCCGTTTCTCGCTGCTGGACTCGCTGCGAGGGTTCTATCTCGAGAACGGTCAATATTTCCACCCTAGAGACCATGATTTTCGGAATCAGCGTGCTGAGAAGGCTCTGTGAGCCAATTTTCAGCCAAATCGGGATGGCCCGGTCATTGGTGGTAAGAACTTTAGAGGGTTCTATCTCGAGAACGGTCAATATTTCCACCCTAGAGACCATGATTTTCGGAATCAGCGTGCTGAGAAGGCTCTGTGAGCCAATTTTCAGCCAAATCGGGATGGCCCGGTCATGGATGGTAAGAACTTTAGAGGGTTCTATCTCGAGAATGGTCAATATTTCCACCCTAGAGACCATGATTTTCGGAATCAGCGTGCTGAGAAGGCTCTGTGAGCCAATTTTCAGCCAAATCGGGATGGCCCGGTGATGGATGGTAAGAACTTTAGAGGCTTCTATCTCGAGAACGGTCAATATTTCCACCCTAGAGACCATGATTTTCGGAATCAGCGCGCTGAGAAGGCTCTCGAAGCCAATTTTAAGCCAAATCGGGATGGCCCGGTCATGGATGGTAAGAACTTTAGAGGGTTCTATCTCGAGAACGGTCAATATTTCCACCCTAGAGACCATGATTTTCGGAATCAGCGTGCTGAGAAGGCTCTGTGAGCCAAATTTCAGCGAAATCGGGATTGCCCGTTTCTCGCTGCCGGACTCGCTGCGAGGGTTCTATCTCGAGAACGGTCAATATTTCCACCCAAGAGACCATGATTTTCGGAATCAGCGTGCTGAGAAGGCTCTGTGAGCCAATTTTCAGCCAAATCGGGATGGCCCGGTCATGGGTGGTAAGAACTTAAGAGGGTTCTATCTCGAGAACGGTCAATATTTCCACCCTAGAGACCATGATTTTCGGAATCAGCGTGCTGAGAAGGCTCTGTGAGCCAATTTTCAGCCAATTCGGGATGGCCCGGTCATGGGTGGTAAGAACTTAAGAGGGTTCTATCTCGAGAACGGTCAATATTTCCACCCTTGAGACCATGATTTTCGGAATCAGCGTGCTGAGAAGGCTCTGTGAGCCAATTTTCAGCCAAATCGGGATGGCCCGGTCATGGGTGGTAAGAACTTTAGAGGGTTCTATCTCGAGAACGGTCAATATTTCCACCCTTGAGACCATGATTTTCGGAATCACCGTGCTGAGAAGGCTCTGTGAGCCAATTTTCAGCCAAATCGGGATGGCCCGGTCATGGGTGGTAAGAACTTTAGAGGGTTCTATCTCGAGAACGGTCAATATTTCCACCCTAGAGACCATGATTTTCGGAATCAGCGTGCTGAGAAGGCTCTGTGAGCCAAATTTCAGCTAAATCGGGATGGCCCGTTTCTCGCTGCTGGACTCGCTGCGAGGGTTCTATCTCGAGAACGGTCAATATTTCCACCCAAGAGACCATGATTTTCGGAATCAGCGTGCTGAGAAGGCTCTGTGAGCCAATTTTCAGCCAAATCGGGATGGCCCGGTCATGGGTGGTAAGAACTTTAGAGGGTTCTATCTCGAGAATGGTCAATATTTCCACCCTAGAGACCATGATTTTCGGAATCAGTGTGCTGATAAGGCTCTGTGAGCCAAATTTCAGCTAAATCGGGATGGCCCGTTTCTCGCTGCTGGACTCGCTGCGAGGGTTCTATCTCGAGAACGGTCAATATTTCCACCCTAGAGACCATGATTTTCGGAATCAGCGTGCTGAGAAGGCTCTGTGAGCCAATTTTCAGCCAAATCGGGATGGCCCGGTCATTGGTGGTAAGAACTTTAGAGGGTTCTATCTCGAGAACGGTCAATATTTCCACCCTAGAGACCATGATTTTCGGAATCAGCGTGCTGAGAAGGCTCTGTGAGCCAATTTTCAGCCAAATCGGGATGGCCCGGTCATGGATGGTAAGAACTTTAGAGGGTTCTATCTCGAGAATGGTCAATATTTCCACCCTAGAGACCATGATTTTCGGAATCAGCGTGCTGAGAAGGCTCTGTGAGCCAATTTTCAGCCAAATCGGGATGGCCCGGTGATGGATGGTAAGAACTTTAGAGGCTTCTATCTCGAGAACGGTCAATATTTTTACCCTAGAGACCATGATTTTCGGAATCAGCGCGCTGAGAAGGCTCTCGAAGCCAATTTTAAGCCAAATCGGGATGGCCCGGTCATGGATGGTAAGAACTTTAGAGGGTTCTATCTCGAGAACGGTCAATATTTCCACCCTAGAGACCATGATTTTCGGAATCAGCGTACTGAGAAGGCTCTGTGAGCCAAATTTCAGCGAAATCGGGATTGCCCGTTTCTCGCTGCCGGACTCGCTGCGAGGGTTCTATCTCGAGAACGGTCAATATTTCCACCCAAGAGACCATGATTTTCGGAATCAGCGTGCTGAGAAGGCTCTGTGAGCCAATTTTCAGCCAAATCGGGATGGCCCGGTCATGGGTGGTAAGAACTTAAGAGGGTTCTATCTCGAGAACGGTCAATATTTCCACCCTAGAGACCATGATTTTCGGAATCAGCGTGCTGAGAAGGCTCTGTGAGCCAATTTTCAGCCAAATCGGGATGGCCCGGTCATGGGTGGTAAGAACTTAAGAGGGTTCTATCTCGAGAACGGTCAATATTTCCACCCTTGAGACCATGATTTTCGGAATCAGCGTGCTGAGAAGGCTCTGTGAGCCAATTTTCAGCCAAATCGGGATGGCCCGGTCATGGGTGGTAAGAACTTTAGAGGGTTCTATCTCGAGAACGGTCAATATTTCCACCCTTGAGACCATGATTTTCGGAATCACCGTGCTGAGAAGGCTCTGTGAGCCAATTTTCAGCCAAATCGGGATGGCCCGGTCATGGGTGGTAAGAACTTTAGAGGGTTCTATCTCGAGAACGGTCAATATTTCCACCCTAGAGACCATGATTTTCTGAATCAGCGTGCTGAGAAGGCTCTGTGAGCCAAATTTCAGCTAAATCGGGATGGCCCGTTTCTCGCTGCTGGACTCGCTGCTCGCTGCTCGCTGCTAGTTTGACAGACGTCTCCCAAATAGCTTCCAGACTAGACACTGAGGTAAAAGTGATAGCACATGAAAGCTCAAAGCAAGAAAAATCAGAAAACTATCTGGCATTTAACATACTTTAAACGGCTGAGCTATTATTCAAGTACGTGTAATCACATCAACGGCAATATCAGAACACCGCACCTGTCGAATTTCTGCCTTGACTTTCTGCCGTTTATGCGTTAATGCCACTTAAAAATCCTCAGTCGGCGCACGTGCGCTTGTCGAGTCGGGGACCACCAGTCGGACGATTCGGAACTGCCGGCCAATCAGCACGCCGCTTTTGTGATTTGGTAGTTTGAGAACCACTGGATATGGTAGCGTAGCAGCTTTTGGAAAGGCGCTACGCTACCAAATCCTCCCCTATTTGTCGCTTAAAGAGGGAATTGAAGGGCAGGATAAAAATACTTCAAAATATGAATTGTTGAATTTCGAGTATTAAATAAGCCCAATTTATGTTGTTTACAGCATAAACGATGCTTTGTATGCTTCTAACAACAATAGCGCCCATAGCAACGTTACACGCGATCGCTATGATGCCTAAAATTCGATCTGAAAATAGGGGAGAAATAGGGGAAGATTAAGGGAACCCTATGTAAACACACCTGTCACAAACCTGCTCGCGGAACAAATCTTCATAGTTTTTTATGCTATTAATTCTATGAACTGTCGGTGATTCAGTGAGTTGACGGGGTGTTGACGCGCTCCGTCTGACGATTTTCTCTATTACAGGCGGCTTCTCCGAGTGGGGTAACTGCACGGTGGAATGCAACATCGGAAAACAGTTCCGGTATGCCATGTGTGGCGGCGATATCTGCGCAGAGGGCACCAACCAGTACGTCGTGGAGGAGCGCGAGTGCAACACCTGGAACAAAAGCTCTTGCCCGAGTGAGTGACCGAGCCCAGGAAGGTGTGAGCCCGTGTGCTAGGACAAAATTATAATCGGTGCCTACATTCCCGATCTCGAGTACGTTTTTTACCCGTAACAAAGTGTCCTTTGCAAAGTTTCAGACTAAACAAAGCCAGCTTACAGATATTTTACGGAAGCCGCTTTCTCGGTTTATAGGCTGAATCAATATGTGTCCTCACCGAACCCATTTCATTCTCTGGTTTGTACAGAACCCTGCTTAGAGTACGCCAAGAATTGTCCCGAGTATGCCATTTGCGAGGACAAGTCGGACGAGACGCGGCCCAACCCCGTCTGCAAATGCACCATGGGTTATGAAATGAACAAGGCCAAAACCCACTGCCTGAGTAAGTGGTTCCGATCGCCGTATCAGACTTCATTGAGCACGTCTGGGAGTGAAACAGTCAGTCAATGAGCGAACTAGATATTGAGGCAATGGGAGAGGAAATGAGTCGGCAAATGAGTTAGAAAATGAGTGAGAAAGGAGTGAGAGAATGAATGGGTGGTGAGAGTAAGTGTCTGAGTGTGGAAGTGAGTGAGCAAATGACTGACAGTAAATGAGTTAGTTAGACAGTGAGTAGGTAGCGAGCAATTCATATCTTAACCATCTTTTTGAATTTCCAAAGCGTTTACCCATTATCATGCATTTAATGTGTCACTGTCCAAGCCTACCATTCTATGCGGCAACTGCCGATTCAGTTTGTGTTTGTGTGCTGTCTGTGTACTGCGAGGTGCCCGTTTGACGCTGCTGCTGTGCGCGGACAGGGCCGCCGCCCACCACCCCCACCCCGCGGCCCATCCCCACATTGGCGCCCGAGGAGAAGACAGTGGCCGTAGTGGTCTCAAAGACCGCCTCCACGGTACTCATCGTCTTCGTCGGTGAGTGTGACGTCACAGGAGTCTGACGTCACTGGACGGTGACGGCAGTGGCATGCAGTCGCCGTTTAATAATGCACCCGCACTGGAGTAATAATGCTGCAACATGGTTTTTAGTTTGGGCGGTCGACCTACTTTATCGACCCACTGAACGTTAGCTGAACTTCACCTGCTCTGTTCCATACGGGTGGACAGAAATGGGCGTCATAACTTGAATGGAATCGTGTTATTTTGCATACACATAAGCACGCAATAAAATGTTCCATCGAAAAAGTTAATCCAACCTATCCTTATCAACAGCAAGACCCAAATAAGCACCTCCAAGTCCTCGCAGCCCTGCCTCCGTACCCAGCCTGGCCAATCAGTAGCTACATGCACCATACTTTAATCGACTGAGCGCTGACCGTTGATCCGTCGTCTGCAGGGATCACGCTGACTCTGTTCTTGCTGCTGCGGATCATGTCACCGGACCGGGTGATCCAGATGAACATGGAGATTGCCATCATCTCGGCACACATCTGCCTCATGTTCCCGCCCGAAACGGTCCAAGTGGAGGTACGAGGCGGACTGGAAGGGGGGGGGGGGCAGAGACAGTTAAAAGGCGAGGAACGGGGGGGGGACAGGGTGCCGGTTATGTGCGAATCCTCGATGAATCAAATTTGGTTGTCGCCTCGGACATTCAGAGTCGTGCGGTTTCCTGCATTCACGTTTACAAATAAGTAAAAAGCTATAACCTTCATTGTCAGAACCTTTCAAATTTCAATCATCAATGCAAATGACTCAAATGAGCCAGTCTGGAGGTTATTCGAATTTTAATCCCATCGTCCTCATACCGAAAGAGAAATCGTTTAGTTTTCTTTCTCCACGGGTGCCGACATCGAAAACCGCTCAATTGATCACCCGACGGCTGTGTTTTTCTCAGATATTATGCAGGATCATCTCCATCCTGATCCACTTCTTCTTCACGGCTTGCTTCATGTTCATGCTGCTAGAGTCTCTCCACATGTACTCTCTCGTTGCCTACGTGGTCAAAAAGGTGAGACAACTGGCCGTCACATGAACGATGTCCCATGGGCTCATCTTATCTAGTACGATTCCAGGAGAAGGCCTACCGTCAACGATGAGCGAACGTCATGCTAGCTGAAGCAGAGTTCATGCGACGCTAAGGAATCGAGCAACCTTGCTAGATATACGGTGTACAAGCATGCACGTCCAAATGCAGAATAGTGATGAAGCGATGAAGATGTCAAGGGGCGGATAATGCCCCTTGACATCTGATAATAATGAGTGGCTTTATGCATTTATGAATAACCAGTCACGATATGGAACATAATAAGGCGTGTAAAAATGCGAGCATTACCAGTGGCTCGCTGCTACCGAACACCACAAGTGGGCATAATATAGGTAGTCTACTGTCATCGGACAGTCTCCTCCCGAATACCATCGACCAGTTGGCCTGTGATGCGTACAAAAGACGCATCGTGCTCATCTTCCCTGCCGCGGAAAGGCCTCCACCGCCTCCACTGTTCACGGGACGACCTGTTCATCGCCTCCCCTGTTCACATGACGACCTATTCACCGTCTACCCCTATCCACAGTCAAGCTGTTCACCGCCTCCCCATGTTCAGAGAACCCCTTCTCCCTATTCACCGTCTCCCCTGTCCACAGGACGGCCTGTTCACGCGCGTGCAGAACACCCTGATCGGCTGGGGCCTCTCGGCGTTCATCGTTCTCGTGACGATGAGTTTCGAGTACGATAACTACGGCGGCGTCTACCACTGCTGGCTGCAGATGGACAAGCCGCTCTGTACCGGACAGTACATCCCCATCATCGCCATTATGATCATCACATTCACGCTGATCGAGGCGGCCGGCGCAGCCGACTACGCGCCGCTCAAAGGTACGGCTATGGATGGAAGAAGAAAGAAAAGGTATTCCCTCATCCATAGTACCACGGCAGGGGAAAACGGGATAGGGGAGCATGGATGAGACGGGAGGACCAGTGGTTTATCTCAGATGTTGGGCTCTTCCTTCATCCCACTGGTTTTACAGCGGGAAGTACCGCACTTTGTGCGGTCCGGCTTTCAAGGAACTGACAATGATGGACTCGGCCAATGGGCAACAGAGCCGAAGCGTGGGACAAATATCAATGCAAAAATGCACGACACTGACATACGTATCTAACAGCAGTTTTCTACATACACATTTCCAGGATATGGATAACTTCATTCAGGTATTTGAGACATCTGTAAGCAAATATTCATCCCAACCGTAGGTCTCTTTACCCGTTGAGCCCAGGAGAAGCCTTTGAGCTTCGAGTTCATCCCTCCGCTCCGCCCGCCTGCCGCAGAGGTGGACAAGTCTCAGCGTCTGTCGGCGCGCATCTCCCAGCGGTCCAACCTGATCATCATGCCGCTAGTGTTCGCCTCCTTCGTCATCGGCATGCTGAGCGAGTACGAGCAGGACCTGGCGCTCTACGGCACCTTCTCCGTCCTGAACGGCATCGTCGGCGGCGTCATCTTCTTCTTTCACTGCACCGGCAACCAGCAGGTGAGCGATGAGAACAAGGAAGCGATAGAGAGGATTGGTCGGAGGGAGGTCGAGGGCTGCGCCGTGACAAGTTGGGGGCGATCAAATGGGCCCGCATTGTCACTGGAACGCAGTGCCAGTATCGTAAATGTTGCGAGGAAAAGTGATGTTATATGACATCCTGTGCTGACTGCAGTTGCAAGTCGGCGCTGTGATCCAGAAATAGCGTGACCTGACGCGCCTCTCCGTCGCCAGGTGCGGGCCAAGATGGTGCGCTGCTGCCAGATGCTGAAGCGTCGCCGCCGCCGCTGAGCGCGCCCGCTGCACGAGCAGGCTGTGCCCAGAGACATCAGCCAGGCCGCAGAGCCTGAGGTGCCGGTGGGCGCGGCCCGCCGGCCGCCTCCTCCCGACAGGGACGGGAGCGGAGCGGCGCGAGCGGGCCCGGCTGCCCACAGCGCGCCCAGAGGCGGCGCGCCCGGCCGCCGGTACGGACCCCTGCTGCGGGTGCCGCGCCGCGGCACCAACAGCAGGGGTCCTGCCGTCCGTGTGAAGCCTATGTTCCAGGTGTAGAGAAGCCTGGTGACGCCGGCGCGCGGCGGGCGCCGGCCGCGTCCGCCGCCGCGCCGCAGACCCTCCGTCGCAGTCGCACCGCTTCAGGGCGCGTCCCTCACCGTCTCTCAGATCGGTGTCGTGTTTGTGTTGGCCGGCAGTCGGCGGTGGGTCGGCTCGCGGACCGAGTCGCCGGCGAGGCCGCTGCGCCCCGCGCCGGCCGCCGTGTCCCGCCCGGCGGTCCGCGCGCCCCCTGCCCAGCTCAGCCCGTCCGGTGCGCGGTCCGCCGGCCGGGACGCCCCGCGGCGCCGCCGCCGCCCCGTGTGCCGTGCCGAGTGCGTGTGTTTTCTGGCGGCACGGCGCCGCCGGACCGGCCACCTCCGCCGGTGGCAGCAGCGGGGGCCATCCCGCCACAGAGGCGTTTCCACACACCGGCGGAGTCGGCCCGTCCCCCGGCCGCGCGCGGGGCCACCAGCCGGCCAGACACCGGCGGCCGCACTGCGGGCCGACCCGCCCGTCCTCCCGCCGGGCCCAGCTCAAAACGATGTGAATTCTCGCCCCCCGTCCGGCGTCAGCGTTCCTTCCGTTCCACGCCGCGGGCCGCCTCTGCAGCTGTCGTCTGTCCTGTCTCTCTCCGCTCGATTTCGACTCTCCTTTCGTCTATCCTCACCTGTCCTATCGGCACCGCCGGCGGTCTGCGAGGCACGTGTACATCCCCAGACCTGAACAAATATCGGCGACCGCCGGCCGCGCCTGTCCCGCGCGGACCCGACCCGGCCCGAGCCGCCGTCCCGGCTGCATATATGAGACTGGGTTGCCAAGCCGTACCACCCCGAGAGGGGGACGGCGGCGGGCGGGGTCCATCCTCACCCTCCACACCTCAGTTTCCGGCGGTCCGCGGCAGCGTTCAGCAAACTCATGTGCGTCCCATGATAGATAATTGCGACGTTTTCTCCCTCATTTGTGAATAAATATTTGGTTGGAAGATGCCGTGTAAACTCGTTCACTAATAAAGAAAACCCTGATACTGGTGTGCGGTTAGAAGGGAGTTCAGAGAATCAATGCCCAAAATACGCGATGATCTTACTCAATGCACTGATATATTCATGAAGAGCTCCGTTCAAAAAATTACCTCACTAGAAGTGGATATACAGCCACGAATAAATAAGCGATTCACAAAAGTAGCAACCAGGACAAAACAATTCCAAAGTAACAGCCAGGCGCCCAACAGCTAACAACGCCCCGACTCGCAAAACTTCACAGCCGTCGAACCCACCGTTCTGTGATCCGCAGAACCACTTGTCGATCTCCTTCTACCAGGCGTGTCCCATGAACTTCCCAGCAAACACAGCTGCCGGGTAGTGTTCCTCGAGCGCGAACATATCCAGGGTGGGTCTACCGGCCACCGCCAGTTGGGTGGCCAGTCCTTCCATATTGTACACCTCCAGGGATGCGGCCGGTCCCACGCTGAGTTCCCCGCGCGGCTCGAAGCCGCTCGGGCCGCGGTACTCTAGGTACACGGCGCGTCCGTCAGCGGTCAGACAGGCAAGGAGTAGCTGCTCGGAGGGCAGGGTCAGCAGTCGCGCGGCGCGTACACCCCACACCGGCACCGTCTGCAGGTGTCGGAACTGACTCCAGGCCGGCTCCAGCCTGCCGGACACACGAGGAGGAGAGTGGGTGTTAGAACCGTGCTGGGGAGCGAGAGGCGAGAGGTGCAAGAACTGGAACGGGGACGAGCCGTAATGGACGACGGCAACGTCAGAGCCACTCACAACAGAACTGCAAAAAAGATAGCACATATGGCAGTGATAGCACCTGCACCCAAAAAATTCACTAAAGCATCAGTTGCTAGCTTATTTTCTTGTAGCCTGCCAAAAACTATCAGTCCACACCGACCATCGTCCGTCCACCGGAGCCCCTCCTTACTCACCCGTAGATGTCCACGAGGCCGGTCAGTTTTCCCGAGTCGGCTCTGGTCACCGTCAGCAGTGTCCGCCCCCCGAGCTGGGCCGTGGTGACGCCCACCGCAGCGGCAGCTATGGTTTGTCTCCGGGAGAGACGCAGCAGCTCAGAGTCCCAGCACCACAGGTCCACCCGACCGCCGCCGGCCAGCGCCACACATACAGAGCCGGAGGCAGAGTACACAGACGCCTGGGGAGATCGGGGATAGAGTGAGAGGTGGTCAACCAGCAATGGAATTAAGAAGCACGGGGCACAATTACATGCTACTCGTAGTGACTGGGTATGGAGAGAATCTCCCGTCCCGGTTTAGCAAGATCGCACTCGCAAACATTTGTGCGGCCTAGTATACCTCACGAGCGATTAAACACACGTTGTCAACGCCCCACCTATCAATTAATGCCCGCCACCCCACTAACCTGACGTGCACGGTGAGTCGGTATGGTCTGGTGGACGACGAAGCCGCGCTGTCCGGCGCTGTGGCAGACCAGGTGGGAGCCGTTGCCAGCAAAGTGGACGAACAGGAAACAGTCGTGATCCGGAGACGGCTTCAGACTCTAGAAAACAAGGGAGGATTCGTTGTTAAAGACAAAGGGGAGGACACACCGTTAAAGACAAAGCAGCGGGTTAATAAAGCTCTAACGTTTTAGAAACTGTTGTCGATGCTAAGTTTATAACAGATAGTTTCTAATTGCTAATGGTTTGCTGTGATATTTTTTTTTACATGAAAAGGCAGCAAAGTAAACATATATACGTCCAGCAAAAGAATGATAAAATGCATCCAGGCTCTTCTATGACGCCAAAAGAAAGCGCTGTGCAGGACTAGCGAGTACCGTGACGTCGACCGTTTTGTGGCTCGGCATTGCCAGCGACTGCGTCAGGACATCACGGTGGTATAGGAAAATGTAGTTCACAGCATCACCGAGCTGACTCAGAGCTGAAAGAGACAAGAACATGCATCAACAAATATAATGCAATCTGTGAGCGTCACCGACCTGCTACCGACGACCGTAAAAACAAACGTTTAAAGAACACACTTCAGACATTCTATCACCTAGCTCAAGCCCATTGATTAATTCAATGCCACCATCAACAAGCAATTAGTTGACACTGAAACTGCTATTGACACTTGCGATTAGCCCCCCCCCCCACCTCTCTACAGACGTACCGGGGTCGTCCCAGCGGTAGACCCGGTCCTCCACCTCTTGTCCGCCGCCCGGCTCGGTCAGCCGCGCCTCTGCTATGTAGGCGGTGCCGTCAGCGAGCCGCAGACCGGCCATAGCGGCGACCCGGCGCTCCGGGTACCGGGGGCCTGAAACACAGCACAGGTAGCATGGAACCAGGAACACAGACATAGGTAGACACACAAATATGCCATGAACATAAACGCAGGTAACATAGCCTTCATTCTCACGGGCCTCTCCCTCATGAGCATACCAGATCAGGCCTGAATAACCCAAGGCTCTCGCTCACCAAGCCGCCCAAACCATTCATTCATCGCCCTCACTAAGACACCACGCCCACCCAGAATAACACACGGTACCGTCCGACCAGTCTCGGCTCTATCAGCCGTCCGTACCATCAATCCACCGTCCAAAGTTGTCTCCTGGCCGCCAGCGAAGCAGCTGCACCCGGTCCGGCCAGACGGCCAGTAGGAAGGCCGGCGGAGACGAGTCTCCGTCCACAAACACAGGCAGCAGGCGTACAATGTCGGACGACCAGCGCTGTACCGAGACAAAGTACTGCAGGTAGCTGGCGCGCTGCAGTTGACCTGAGCACACAGAGGGTGACAGGGTGACAGCAAACAAATTAAACACATGCATATTCATAAATTGGACAACCTACTGAATAATAGAAAATGGAAAGTTGAAATGAAATAATATAAACCATGGACATTAACAAGACCATGCACCTGTGAAATAACTCCGAACATTTACATGCATACAAGCGCCATGAAATTACCACTAATCATGCAAGGAAAATCAATGCTTAAGGTCAAGAGGCGCTCGATGGCGGGATTTCACTAGCAGCGGTGGCCGCCGGGCGTACCTCTAGCTTCCTGCAGAGCCCGGTAGATGTCTCTGAGGACGATCAGGTGCTCGTCGGCCGCTGTCTGGTTCAGGCTGCCGAGCTGCTGGAGCGTCCACAGCACCTGCCGCAGCAGCTGGGAACGGCAGGGGCGAACGGAGCGATCAAAATATGCATATGAGAGCAAGGTAAGAGCTGGGGCATGGTTATGGCAAGTCCAGCAGTTACACCCCCCCCCCCCCCCCCCCCCAAGAAAGTTATAGAACGTCTACATATTTGTAGCTAAACCAAACAATTGGTGGGATAAACTGATAACACCAAAGCACCCTACACCAAGAACAGCACCTTTCCATTCCGAAAATGGTCATTTCACGATGGAACCGTGCAAATTATATTAGCGGGAAGTTGCGCCCTAGTCACCTCCCACCTCCGCCAGCGCCAGGTCGTGCCTCAACACGGAACGGGCCGTGCCACCTAGGTGCGCCGGGGAGAACTACAGGTCGCATAGTGCCACCAGATGTCGCGCAAACACGACAGGCGCAGATAAATAGATTTTAGATCGTGGGTGATATATTGTAACAGCGTTGATTTCTACCATGCATGTATTTTAGCAACTCACAGCGTGGGCGCAGGCACTGGAACCACAACGGCTACCACAACTGCACGTAAGTATGTCCGACATACGACTTATGTTTGGACTCTAGGCAACGCTGCCCAAGCGGCCTTTTCCGTTAGGACGCCGAGCGACGGAGTGCGCGCAGCAATTTTTTTTTGTCTCCCTCTGTTCTTTCTAGGGCGTCTTTCAGAAGAGCCCAGGAAGGGGCCAGGGGTCGAGGCCAGCCAATGCCAAAACACCGAACTATAGCTCCGCCCGGACTCACTTAGCAACCTTAACGCTAACAGGCACTTCCGAGTAGACTCGGAGTACAGTCTGTCTTAAAAGTACCGCGCAAAGTAACGGTGGATCCATCGAGCCTGACTAAGGAAGGGTGTGCTATCTTTGAGTCACCGAAGCAATTAACATCCTCGTCCATTCCCAGGTCAATTGCTTCGGTGACTTTAAAATTATAACAGGCCCTTCCTCGGTTAGGCTTGATGGATCCACCATCACCTTGCGCGGTACTTTTGTACTTTCCAATGTCCATGATATGCAAGACCAACATTATACCTCAGCCATCCGCTGTTCAGCATCCGCGTCGTCCGCGTAGTATCCGAGCATGGCGGGGACGTTAGTGAATGTCCAGTGCCCGGTGACGACCAGGGCTGTGTCACTCTGCGAGGCCAGACCGACCACTCGCACCTGGGGAGTGGGGAAGTGATCAGCCTGGTACAGGGACGGTAGAATAAAGACAAGACACAGTCACACAGTGAATATTGTGGAGAAGTTTGCCACTCGCAACATTGGAACGAACACCTGTTTTAGTGGTTGTGTGGACAACAACGCCGATGTCATTAACGGGTCATGCATGCTCTCTTTCAAGGCGAAGTAAACAAAATGTTACCCAGAAATCATCAAAGCCAGCCTAGCAAGTTAATGAACAGCCTCAACGTTTCTGTCGCATTTCATGCCACAACAGAAAACTACGATTAAAACATGTAAATGGATGAAGCCCCAACTCACGGGACCAAGACTACAGCCACACACAGATAGACAGACAGACACCGTCGCCGTTCTCCTTACCGCGTGTTTGATGAGCCTCTCAATATCGACCCCGTTCAGCAGTCGCGTAGTCAGCTGAGGGAGCTTCAGGCACGGCCCGCCCACGTGGATGAGACGGGTCACACCGGGTACTTGCTGTTCACCGGAGAAGAGCGTCAGAACGGTAGAGCGCGTCAGGCGGACACCGTTCACAGTGCCCAGGACCCTGAGAAGGCAGAGGATGGAGGTCAGAGGCCTGGGGGCGGAGGTGCAGATCTGAACCAGTCGGAACAGACTAAGGGGAAGGGGGGGGGGGGCTGCAGCCTATACTTTGACTACGCACACGTGTGCACCAGGCCGGTGTAAAATAAACGGATTATTATTGTAAATTGACAATACCGGGAGTTCCTAAATAAACAGTCGAATTATTTTTGCCTCTAGTGGCGTCAACTAACAAAACCACAACAACCAAATTGCACGTGATGATAGCACGTGCAATGCCATTTTATTTCATACCAAAATCAATCACTTTCTATCATGCAGCCGTATAGTACAGACATAAAAACAAAAATAGTACATTTCTATTTTGAGACAGAGTCAATCGTTGCAACACAACGTAAGCTACGCCGACACTTAAAAGGGACCCTAGTGCCATCAAGGACCGTCATTTTAAGTATAGTTGAGAAGTTTTTGGCAAGAGGTAGTGTGGAGAACGTAAAAAGGGTAAATGTGGCCGAAAAAGAACCAAGAGGACGCCTCTAAACGCCCAAAAGGCACGAGAAGCCCTCCAGAGGAGCCCACAAAAGTCGCTCAGACGGCTGGGCCAGGAACTGGGCTGTAGCAAAACCACCGCTCACCGTTTGGCCAGAAACGACGTTCAGCTGTTCCCGTATAAGGTCTCCGTTCACCAAGCACTGTCGAAAGTCGACAAACAGTCACGGCTTCTTTACAGCGGCTGTTTTTTTTAGAAATTGCGAGCAGGACAATGAGTTCCTTCACCGAATCTGGTTCAGCGACGAGGCCCATTTTCATATGGATGGCCGCGTGAACTCCCAGAATTTTCGATTCTGGTCGACGGAGCCACCCGATTTGGTCGCGGAAGCCCCTCTGCACAGTGTGAAGTGCACAGCCTGGTGTGCAATGAGCAGCAGTGGCATCATCGGACCTTTCTGGTTTGAGAACGACGCTGGGGAGTCTGTCACCGTCAACGCTCAGCGCTACCGGCAAGTCCTAGCCAAGTTCTGGACTGCGCTGAACAGGCGGCTGGGTGGAGACAGGCAGCTGTTGGACCAACAATGGTTCCAACAAGACGGAGCCTCGGCGCACACGGCCGTTGCGACTCGAGAATGGCTGCGGAACCGATTCGGTTCGCGGGTTATCCCCCGCAGAGAGGTGCGGACCTGGCCCCCGCACTCTCCGGATCTGACCCCACTTGACTTCTTTCTCTGGGGTCACCTGAAGTCACAGGTCTACAAAAGCAACCCCAGAACCACAGATGACCTCAAGAAGGCCGTGTCGTCCGCGGTACGCCGAGTGCGGCCGGAGATCTGCCGGGCTGCGGTGAATCCGCTCGGCGACGCGCAGAGCTGTGTGTGGAGCGAGAGGGGGCTCATCTGGAACACGTCCTCTGTGGCTGCAAATGAAAAGACAGCAAAAAGAAGATGGTATCACGTGAAATGGCATCGACTATTGTGTACGTTAGAAAGTGATTCGTTTTTGTCATGCCTTCCATGCTGATAATATACAGCTTTTAAATACGACTGTTTATTTAGGAACTCCCGGTACTGGGGCTGATTGACCTTTCGTTCTTATGTTCTTACGTGCTACCTGTTCGAGTGACGATTCCATTAACCCCCATCGGTGAAGTCAATGTAAAAAATAAGCAAACCTACTCCGGAAATTAATTAGTTTTATGTTTCGCCGACGGCCAGCCCGTTCGACAAATCCATGTTCAGCAGCCAACTTTAAAAAACGACACTGTTATGTAACCGTCTGTCTGGAGTCTAGCATCTTTACGTAAGAGGCCGGACCGGTTCGCTGTGAGTGCCAATATACCACCAGAGATTGGAGGAATTTAACTGCTCATATGGCCAAAGCCAAAATATGAGTGCTGCTGTTCTCATGTACAGCTGTGTCAGGGATGAGACTGACATAGTGCTTGATAAGATGCCCGAGACACTTTATACGTCAGAGGATGGGTGAATGTGAATGTTCTTACGTTATAAGCTGAATGAACGTAACCGTTCTTACGTACAGTCACCAGCAGTTGCTACCCATCACCCCCGGACGGCGGGGGAGCAAGCTACCACCGCCCCTGCGAGACTAGCGCCGCCATGCGCCAAGAAGTGGAAACACCACGTGACTGAGGCCACGTGAGGGCAGGGTCACGTGATGGAGGGGCGGAGCATAGTAGCTTTTGCGCCCGACACTAACTGAAATGCGGCGCTGTGATTGGGCGCCTTAGCATGAATGAAGCCCCGGCGCCAGAATCAGCCGTTCGCCTTATATGGAAAGTGAGCCTTTGCGTTTCACTGTTCTGTATTGGTTTGAGAGCCACGGCACCATACGAATTGTGAGCCCCTTTGAACGGGTCACCGCCCGAGGCACTGAGGCGACGGCTGTGCCGGGCAAAGTCTCGCCTGGTGGGAGAGGTGGGCCAGGGAAAGTGCGATCGAGCATCCACTGGGACGTGGATTGGTATTATCCAACCGCGACAAACGATGTCAGCAGCCTCTTCTCGTGTCATAGACAGTGTCTATGACACGAAAAGCTAGACAGACAACGTGGGCAGTGCCCAATCAAAAGCTACTAAACGATCCAGTTAAGAAGTTGGCGAGGTAGCCAGACCAAATAAAAAGTTTAACCGCAACACATGGACCAAATGTGTTCCATGTGTTGCGGTTAGGGTGCTATTCGATTGTCGATATTCACTTGTCGATTTTGGTTGACAAGTGACATACCTACAAGCCCGCTGTGATGGACCAAAAAAAAGGAGCTGAACAGTCCATACAACTTCTAAAAAGCTCAACGGTTTAAAAATTCAAAAATTAAATGTTAAAATTCAGCCTGCATGTTTAAACTCTGGTCCGGCGCTGGCAGGAAGCTTATATTGCCACTTGCAATTCCACTACGTTGTAATATAACCAAGAGTTCTGTGATAGCAGCAACTGAAAGCCCCGTTGAGGGGGAGGGCGGCGCGAAACGGCCCCCCCTCTCCTTTTCAGTCGATATCTCCTAAAGTATAGCAAATGTCGCCACCAAACTTTCAAGACCCCTCCGGGCATCATATTTATACCTTGTGACCAAATTTTTCCAGAGCTCTTATGAAAGGGCTCGACCCGTCCACCGGCGGCCGGTCAGACGCGGCCGGCGGACAGGGAGCCGCCGCGTTAGCGTGCAAGGATGTCAAACATCAAACATCATACGCTAACGCGGCGGCTCCCTGTCCGCCGGCCGCGTCTGACCGGCCGCCGGTGGACGGGTCGAGCCCTGCCTGTCGACAACCCGGCCACCCGTCTGTGGAGGCGGGCGCTGACTTTTTTTTTTTTTTTTGCTCTTATGATAGGTTTGTCACAAATGACGTCAGAGGGATGCCATGTTCTGTCATTTTCGACCCAATAAAAGGTTTAGCGGGAAGAGCTGTCACGCTTACAGTTTTGAAGATAACGAAAAATATCAAATATCAAGATAAAAAAATGTAAAATTAACAGCGCTACCAAACTGCTAACTCTTATTTCCAAACAAAAATTGATTTTGACCATCAAAACAAAACTATAGAAGTATAACACCCCAAAAATACCAACAACTTTCAACATTAAAACTGAAATATATGTTATAAAACTATCTGCTCTAGATATGCCAAACTTAAACTCGATAGCTCCATCTCTAGCAAAGTTATGGCAAAAAACTACTCAAAATTTATGACGTAAAATTTTCAAATTCAATTTTTAGCCGTCACAGAACACACAAAGCAAGCCAAAAGCCACCATTGGCTTTCCTGTGATGAGCTGCATCGAATAGATACCCCTTTTATGCAAAATATCAACTCTGAAATTTGACCTTCTTTGACCTGACCTTGACCTGACCTCCATCAGAATGTAATCTAAACTGGCCCCAATGGCCGTCTAGCTCACACCATTGAATTTTAAATGTAAAATTGGCCATAAAACATGCATCACACGACCCTAGCATAGTTGGGTTCATATTGTGACCCTTAGTGACCTGACTTCTGTGACTAACTGACCTGGCATCAATGATCTCTTTAGGCAACGTATGTATTAGACAACCAACGCTCCATCGATGTTTTTCGATAACATGCCTTTTATTTGATGTGTTAACTGACTGTAACGCATTCCTTAGACTAAATCGGTGAAAAATGCGACCTTTGACCTGACTTGTGACGTCATGGGTTGCACCTAGGTCAACGAAACCTGGTAGCAAGGTAGTTACCTGGTGGGGCTATCGAACGCTCTTTGAGTGTTTAAAATCGGTCGGTAACTTTCCGAGATCTCAAGTGGAGGGCGAAACGGCTGCAACACCCGATCAGGTGGTAGGGTCCGCCAATAGCCTAAGAGGGCGCGGAATATTTATTCACTCATACAGTGTCATTTATATTGAGAACACATTTCTCACGCCATGACATGGTCCTCTCGCAATAGAACGAGATGGGGAGTGTTTTCACGCCTCCTTATGCACGGCTCTAAGTGTCATTGAGCTATCAACTTTCAGCGGTTTTCGGACAATGAAGTTCTTAGTTCTTACTGAATCCAATTTCATTTCAAACGATTGTCACTGTGCTAGTTTTCTTCTTACACGTTTTTGAAAAAACGCTGAAGAAGTCTTTGATAGACGAAACCAGTCCGCTTATTCTTTTTCTAATTGTTTTTTGAATATATTCGTAGACTACTGGCTCTTGACTACAAAATTTGAGAATGTTTGGTATTACTTTGACCCGAACGATGTGCAGCTGAATTTTCCCTCTTGAATGATTATGGACAGCTCGCGCTCAACCTAAACTACCGACAAGCTGAAGAAAATCCGATACAAGCCTACCTCAATCCTCTCACCTTATTCAACCGTTGAAACGTTAAAGGCATTTGTTCAGTACGAATCGCTATGTCGACTGCACCCGCGCCGTGCTGGGGGGGGGGGGAGCGTTTTTACGCCCTTCCCCCTCAGGTTTTTCGCGAATATCTCAAAAAACGGCGACGCGACGCGTAGCGTCATTCAAGGTCAGGTCACCAGGTAACGTCAAGTGACCTTACCTCAGAAAAAAATTCGAAAGCTCGTTGTAGCTACACCGACTGAGCGATCACTTTAAAACTTTCAGTAATTGCTTAGGGTAACAGTATGTATAAAATGGATACCTCTGATTTTTTTATGTGTGTGACCTAAGGTCAGGTCAGTTTTGCGACTGCTCCATTAGGTATAAGTCAATGGGAGAAAATTGAAATGCGCTTCTTTTGGACGAATTTCGTTCTACACTCTCTCAAACATCGGTCCATAGGTAAACATGACACACTGAATCGGAAAATTGCACCTGTAGCCCCTGTGTGTGCCCCTGAGGTCATTTTAGGACATAAAAGGTCTTCAGCAGTTTTTTTTTTACTTTTGACGGAGACGTGCTAGAGCGGTGAAAACACCGTTGATCTGAGGTCAAATTTGAAGTCAATCAGAGCGGTGCCCTCTGGGGGCTAAACCGTTGATCTGAGGTCAAATTTGAGGACATGTTGGCGAAAAAACGTTAAAAGAGCTATCGAATGCGCTTTTCCGCGGCGCTGTAGGTCTATTGGTTCCCGAGTTAGCCGTCGGGTGTTCGAAATCGTTGAAATCAACAAAATTTGACCTTTGATAAACCCTGGTGACCTGACCTTTGCCCTGACCTTAAAATAACCGAGTGTTTTCCTCCTTATTTTTGACGCTCTTTCGATTGTCGCTTACCGCGTGTCGCTACGTGGCCCAGGAGCCGAGTTAGACGGAGGGGCGTAAAACGCCCCCCCCCCCCCCCAACACTTGATGGAAAGTTCATGCCACCAACACGGCGGCGCGGGCTGGTGGCGGGATATTATGTTAACTATAACTCCTGTTATTATATTCCTCCTATTATTATTATAGCTCCTGTTGTAAGCTGTGGAGTCGTGGACCTGATCTTGAAGGAACTGGGCCTAACATTTTCATAGCAAGCGTAAAAAAATGTTTAATAGGTTGTGCAAAAAATAGCATCTTTTATGAAACATTTGCGAAACCTTCAAAATTATCCCCAGACCCCATTAGTTCCGAGCTCCCAACGACGACCATAAAAGCGTCCCCATCCCGTCATAGGCGGCGGAACGGGGAGGGTACCGGGGCACCGTGCCCCCTTTGATTTTGGCATTTCAAAGTTAGCCCAATGAGCGTTGCATGAAAATAATAGGACCAAAAGTCGGCAGTGCCCCCCCCCCCCTTAATTGAAGGTGTTCCGCCGCTACTGCATCCCGTCAGCGTGGGTTTATCACAAGGATGCTAAGATTTAATTTCCAATCCGAAGCTGTAATGATGGAAAGCAAATTTGCATTTTACATGTGAAACAAGCTGACACAACTAAAAATTTCCTCTCTCGCTCCCTCTCACTGATTTACCCATTGCCCTCTTTCTCATTTTACCCTCTCTGGTTTTCCTTTTCAGTTTTCTCTCTCTCTCTCTCTCTCTCTCTCTCTCTCTCTCTCTCTCTCTCTCTCCCTCTCTCTCTCTCTCTCTCTCTCTCTCTCTCTCTCTCTCTCTCTCTCTCTCTCTCTCTCTCTCTCTCTCTCTCTCTCTCTCTCTCTCTCTCTCTCTCTCTCTCTCTCTCTCTCTCTCTCTCTCTCTCTCTCTCTCTCTCTCTCTCTCTCTCTCTCTCTCTCTCTCTCTCTCTCTCTCTCTCTCTCTCTCTCTCTCTCTCTCTCTCTCTCTCTCTCCTCACAATATTCTCGACTGTCACAGCGTTGTAGGACTTGTTTCAAGACAGGTCCAGGCGCTCCCCACTCCGCAGGCCCCAGCCCACACGGCCCAACCGCTCAAACACCCTCCGGCGGATGACCTCTGACCTCGGCGACCTGACCCCAGCCGACCGATCGCGCCCCTCTCCACGCCTCCGCCCCGCTTCCCCCACTACAGCTGCGTAGTAATTGTAGCGTGTGCAAAGGTCACGTGACATTATTTACTTCTGCGGCTTGTTCGGCTGACAAGAGATGGCACTAGTGGTCTGTGGATCAGAGGCGGGGCTAGGTTCTACGACTTCTTGGGGCACATTTTAGGGCAGAAAAGAGGTTTTTTGGCTCCCCATCCCAAAATGCTTCGAATATACAAAAACAAGTTAGATATTCGAAAATCGGAGGACCAAACGGATCGTTTGACGTATCCTCCGCGACTGACAGTTGATCGGTCTTCAAACTACTGAACAAAAACGAGGTGATTAGTAGCAAGTGCTGGTGACTGTACGAGTCCCGGCAGATTTGCCCGTTCTTTCAATATGGGCTGGAGGTGAATATTATTTTTACGTCGGGGGCTGTGTGAATGTGACCGTTCTTATTTCAAAAGCTGGGTGAATGTGAGTTGTGACCGTCCTTACGTCAGCGGCTGTGTGAATGTGACCGTCCTTACGTCAGCGGCCGGGTGAATGTGAGCGTCCTTACGTCAGCGGCTGGGTGAACGTGAGCGCCTCGCAGCCAAACACCACATCCGAGGTGACCACCAGAGGCGTCAGTCCCCCTGGTCGACCAGAGAGGAAGTTTGTGGTGTTGAGCTCGTGGGAGAGGTCGAGCCGGTAGACCAGGCCGCCGTCCGGCAGTATGACGTCACCTGGGGGATGACGACAAAACGTCAGCTAGTATCATCTGATGGTAGATAAACGTTTTATCAGGAGTCGCGTACTACTAAATACTAGCTCACACACTAACTGACACGCATATAGGGAGCGAGTCGTAAATAATGGTCATTGCGACACAGAATAATGTAATACATGTCGAAATGTGGTAAGAAAATACTTGGCAGGCCCAACGAAAATAAACAATAGACATGCATACTCTGAAACATTCAGGCAGGTAGGTTATCACAGGACTCCCGAACTGTCTACGGTCCCGGGGTCAGTCTCACTACGTACCGAGGACCACCATGTAGCGGACGGTCTGTCGGGCAGTGAAGTGAACCTCGGACGCAGAGGTCGGCACCAGGGCCGAACCGGGGATCCCGTTCAGAGTGATGAACGATACGGGACCTGGAGCACAAGAGAAGGGGTCAGTGAAGACTGAGGGGATGTAAGCACTCTGTGTACCATGGCAATTGATAAGACACAGCACTGGAGGAGGAAAAGTTATGGATGGCAGTTCAAGTGTGACAGAAAACCACTGCCTGTTAGCATTCGAAAGTGGTGCATTTAGCAACATTTGAAGTGTGAATCAACGCCTGTTTTAACTATCGCATACAGTATGCATTTTTATTAGTTAAATACATTTTATGAAGTAAATGGGGGCCAGTAATATCAAGCAGACGCCGGCCGAGTCATCCATGCCGACCTTATTCCCCGGTCAGGTCAATAATAAAACAACTGTCCACTTTGGTCCCATCATCAGCCCACACATAAGCCGCCACAGTTTCAATCTGTATCCCCTACTACTATATAACCGCCTTCCGCCCGTATCGATAACGCACCTGTGACCACCAGTTCGGGCAGCACCCACTCGCCAGTGACGCTACCTCCGTCCAGTGTCAGTACAGAGTCCCGCAGAGTGGACAGGCGGCGGCCGTTCAGCAGGCCCAGCACCGTCTGAGCGAGGCGGAGGGAGGCGAGGTCAGAGTAAGGCAGTCATAAGAAAGGCATGTGGGCTGAGTAATTATGAGGAAGCGGAAAATGAACTGTCGGATTGACGGCCAGAGGATTGGACCCTCCAAAGATAACCTGATTCATGGAACATCACATCAACATAATAGCGAATAGCGATCATTGCTAAATACGAAGATACCAACTCGGTGCTGACTTCAGAACTGAGAACAAAATCCAAAACTCAATGGGGCTTCCCAATCTATTGGAGGACAGGGAGTACCGTGTGACATCATAAGCTACTCACCAGCTCATTGGCGGACAGCGATGCCAGTTTGACGTCAGAGAGGAAGGTGACCGGCCCGCTGACCGTCTGAGGTCGGGAGAGGCTCCAATAGTTCGCCATGTAGGGTTTCAGGTCCACCGTCACCGCCGACTCTCCGGACAGCAGAGTCTGCCGTAAGGACAGTCATCAAACTGACGTTATTTAGATCTGCAGCACAGACTGCACTGCTTACATAATCGACCGTAACTTCAACCACAAGCCATCGGTTAGCGAAGCTAAGAAAATTCTACGAAAATCAAAACAGACAACCGGCCACTATCCACAGGAAATAGAGCTATTTTAAAGTTGACATTTAATGCAATCTAGATCCAAGCACAGTGCACAAAATCCAGATCAACAAAATCCCCCGTCAGGCCTTGCCCACCTGGACGTCTTCCACGGCGGTGAAGTAAGGTTTGGCCAGCGTGACGCGTCCGTTGAGGGTCTGACGGGCGTCCCGGAGCCAGTAGCGCTGCTCCAGCTCACCCAGGGCCACCCCGTTCACGGTCCAGGACAGAAGGTCCGTCACTTGGTGGAGCGTGACGTCACCTGGGGAAAATCGCCAATCAGAGGAACGGGTTAATTTCCGTCTCAAAGCAACGCCTCACTGTGGAGTATCAAACTTCTATAATTATGAGCTAGCATTCCAAATAATTTAGGTGTCGTTGCAAGGATAACAGCCCTAAATCTTAAGCCGATCCCGAAACAACTTTCCTCAGAGCAACCTCTTAACCTCACACCAAACCTCACAGAAAAACACGGTCGTTTTCGCGCCCTCACAGGGGCAAGCCGATTATTTCTAACATGTCATCCTTACCGTGGACGGTGACTTTATCGAAGGCGACGCCGCCGTCGCCAGGGAGCACGGTCCGCCGACACACCTCGTCCAGTAGGACCCCGTTGATAGGTCCTTCCACGGAGAACGTGTTTAGCGCGCGCATCCCGCCCAAAAACACCTGCACAGAGAGGGAAACGTTCACGTATCATATGAAACATTAGGGCAGGTTCATGACGTAGCGGCAAAATACGCTAACAAAGAATAAAATAGTGATCATCTGCACAAACGTCAAAATATGTTAGCCACTCACCCATGTGCTAAAGTATGTTCCTTATCTCACTTCTCACCTTCCCTCACTATGCCTCACCTTACCTCTCTCCCAGAATCAACTAACCTTGACTCCGAGCACCACCTGGCTCTGGTTCTGGCGCATTACGTCCGTGAAATTCATACCCTCCATCTCGATCGTGACCTCCGGCGTCGCCAGGGACTCTGTTACACAAAGTTGGGGTCCAGTCACAGGCGTGCGAGTCAGTGGAAATAGTGTCAGGCCATCAAGTCCGAGTCGTGTCAAAAAAGCCGGAGACAGGTCGTCCAGCGACCATGCTATCAAGTTTGAATGTTTATATAAAAAAATCGGCAAGCACGATGAAATGTTGAGAAGCAGAAGAAAAGCCAGATTTGAATTAAATGAAACTTAGTCAATGGAAAACCAAAACATAGCAAGATAGGTTGGGTGCCAGAACCCACTCAGAATCAGTCCAACTTTTCCTCGCCACTCACGTATGGTGACATTCTGTGTGATGACCACCTCCTCATTGACCGGTATCCGTCCGTCCAGCAGTTTTCCGCCGACGACACCGTTCAGCCGTCCCCCCAGCGTCACAGTGAGTGTTGGCGTGGTGATCATGGCGTCACGGGTGAACTGGAGCGGCCCGGCCAGAGTCTGTCCTCCGCCCGACACCAGCCAGTCGGAGCCGAACTCGGCGGCAGACACGCCGTCCATCGAACCTGAGAGAAGGAGGGGAAGGGGGATGTGAAATGTGGGGGGTGAAAAAAACAAGAAGCGTAAATTGTGTGCTAGCTAATTACGAAGCCCCTTGTTGATGCTTAGCTACCGTCCATCACATTAACTCCGTAACACACTGAAATATATTGCTCCATGGCACTCGCGGAAGTCGGTGAAACTCAAACCAAAGAGTTAAAGAGACACCAAAGCCTGCATGCCCTTCACACCACACACCCTCCTCTGCACACTCTCCTGTCATCCACATACACACCCGTCCCGCCAGCCAAACCCAGCCACCCCGCCGCACCCACCTGTGAATGTAAGCCGCTCCACCGTCACCGCCGCGTCGAACGCCATATCGCCGACCACCAGGGCGTCTCGGACGGCGTCGTGCAGCGTGGCGACGAGGTCGTCCCCGTTCACCTTACCAGTTACCACCAGAGAGGAGGCTGTGACCCGGCTGGTGAACTTCTGGGAGCCCGTCACAGTCATGTACGCTGAAACGGGCGGACGGGAAGGAGGTGTCAAAATATGCCGCTGGACGGTTGGTATTACGTACAAGGTTGTTGATTAATTTTAAACAAATCGGTTATACAGAGTTTATAAAGCGAATGGCACACAGACCTGACCGGTTCTTGTTTCTAAATTCTAGGTTTAGAAACGACATCGATAGTACGCCCACTTGACGCATCTTATCGACAGCCGGTATATTGCGCAGCTCGAACGCACCTAATTTTCCACAAAACCTTTCGACACATCATTGACTAGCGCCAGCACAGTGAAGTAATTAGGCCCGCCACTAGCAGTGAGAGAGCTAGTCTCTTCAAGCAGCAACCCATTATTTTCCGAAAAAGAGGCATTATATAAACCACATCCGGTACTGACTGGTGTTGACGGCGTCGGCCGCGTGGGTCAGTAACGCGGAGACGTTGACACCGTCCACCAGACCGTCCACCCAGAGGTCAGTGACCTGCAGGTCAGCTACCTGGAGGGGCGCGGAGAACAGCTTCGTGCCTGGCGGAGGGAGCGTGAGAGTTAAATAGGGAAGGCTTCCGTATCCGCGTTCGACGCGACTCTGTTCAGTCAGAAGCTGGCGAGAAGACGACTATGGAATGAAGCTAATTAACTGGTTTGTCATCTACCGCTTTCTGATATCTCTTTTGTGCTCGGATGCTTTTTCAGATTTCAGCAGTATCAGTAGGTTGTAAGCGATGCAGACTATCGCTCGAGGCAGTTAAGAGCACAGGCTACGTACCGGTGATGACGTGAGACCCGCTGACGGTGACCACCTCCTCCGTCAGGTTGTAGCCCTGCCAGTTGACGTAGTTGGCGGCCACACTGACAAAGAACACGAATAGTCAGCTATCAACGTGTACCGCATCTCATATTCAGCCGTATGTCAATTGTCAATAGATCTCAGGTGTTGTCAACACTCAACCGACGTCATACAAGGACAACATCGAACGTTATGCTATCCAGGCATCTCAGACATTACCAAGCCCTTATCAGTTCGTCTCAAATCGATCTATTCAGCCCTTTAGACTGGCAAGCCACTTCATTCCATCCCTCCTAGCCACCCTCTGCCCAACATCCCTCCTTATTTCATTTTATTCACAAGTTACTCCTTCATCTTTCTCTCCCAAGTCCCTGTTACCCCCACCACCGGGACTCACGTATCGAACACGGTCTCCGCCGCGAACAGCAGCGGCCCGCGAACGTGCTGGTCGCCCTCGGTCCTCAGCACGCTGCCGAAGAAGCCGTCCGCCTGCAGGCCGTTCAGCAGGTCCACCGTGATGTCGGCAGCGGAGAGGGCCAGCAGCGCCTTGTTGCCGGTGATGATCTGGTCGACTCCGGAGGTCATCACCCACTCGGTGGGGGAGATGTTGTTCAGTAGCGCGGCGCGCAGGTCACCGGAGATCTGGGGGGGGGAGCGAGTGACAGCGTGAAGTGGACAGCGTGAGAAAGGGGTGAGACGGATTTTCGGATTGCTTATTACTTGTCAAATACGTCTCACTCATGTAGTATTTTCCGGAAGCAGATATTCGACATTCAGAACACCGAAGGCGTTCTCGGACGGGACACCCAGCACAATAACATGTGGCAAGCTACACTATACTCTGTTCCGTTTCAAGTTTGCAGCCGAAGTGCCCTGCTGAAAGCAGTGCGTGATTTCTGTATATACAGTTCTTACATTTTAAGACGCAAATTCTTGAGCGGAGGAGCGATCTGCCGAAGAAACTCCGACTGCAAGCTTGATATGGAACAGACTATAGCATGACACAAATCTGCCGTTATATAGGACGCAATCACCGATACACCAAACAAACAAAACCTTGCCACTCTGAGGAGAACGAACGTACAAAGGAACAGTCCACCTCCACCTGCCTACCCCCTAACACTCGGCCCTTTGACCCACCTCCAGGTGTTCGAACTCCATGGCCGGCAGGGCGGTGTCCCTCAGTTTGAGTGCCGACCGCAGCATGGTCGGTACGTCCAGTCCGTTGAGCAGGCCGCTAAGACGCAGGTCGGACACGATGATGACGTCACCGCGAATCACCTTATCGCCGTCTGTCGGCGGGAGAAGAAAGTGATAACGTCAGATAGTAAATATCAGAGCGCAGGCACACGCCACCGTGTCATAGCCTGCCAGTGCCAGTGTTTAGGAAAGCATGATAAACAATAAAAAAGCATTACCTACTGGTATGAAATATCCCTGACAGTGCTAAATGATAGAACATCCCTGAAGATCGTCAAATCAGAGACTACGACCCTTCCGGGTACCACCCGCCTTCCCCCTGCCATGGTTTCACTGACCGATTCTGGATGCCGACTGTTCCAGCGCCGTCTCCAGCAGCTCCTCGGTGATGTTGACGCCGTTGACGGTGCCGCTGACGGTCGAGTTGCTGGCCAGGTGCAGGGAGCCGACAGTCTTCTTACTGACTATCAGCTGGTCTCCGGAGGTGAGCAGAAGCTGCAGCAGGCCGTCAATCACCTGGGGACGGAGGACAGAGGTCAGATGGATGAAGGAAAGGAGTACATACGAACAGAGAAAATATGATGTAAAGCAAATGGAAGTCAAAGGTCAGAGAAACGAAGAGTAGACTAAGGCGGACGGATGGGGGGGGGGGCAAAAGTCCGTCAGACAGTACGGTACTTGACCGGTTAACGACAAGAACCGGTGCACTGAACTACCTTATGTTACCGGTGCTGCAGTGGCGATATTAATTAGAACATCATCGAAAGATATCGACAAGCTTTCCTGAATTCGTCAATTCTTCTTAGCTTCGTTATATCAGATAATACCCGGTCTAAACGTCAAGACATGGCTCTTAATCGCCGCATTGTTCTCCAGCACACGCTGAACCTGTCGTTCTGTACCCACCCGGACCGGTCCCATCCTCTCGGTGACGGTCAGCTCGTGTACGGTGACCTCGGAGAACGATAGCTGCCCAACTCGATAGCTGAGCTCGGGACGATTCACTGGCACAAAGTCATCCGGTACGTGGAGTCCGCCCAGTGTGCCCGCCAGCGTCAGGTCGCGGGTTACGATCAGACGGCCCACCGTCCATGAGCCTGGAGAGGTCGGGATGGACTCTGGTTACACACTGAAGTGGAGGTCGGTAAGCCAAAGAAAATGATCCAAGGGATGGCAGCCTAAAGAAAGCGACAGCCTTCGACCTGCAGAAATGACACCTGTCCTGCACCTCCGGCATCCGGTATTTAGCTTTTCATTGCTAACAACACGTTATCCAAATGCATTAACGCCAAGTGACGATGGAAGCTACAATCACTATGCGCTACTTTCTTTCCAAGGCCTACACTACAGCTGTACTCTGTACTCTTTCAGTCACTCTCTCCGTTGTATTCGTCACTCACCCGTGATATTCTGTCCGCCGGTGGTGGTGAAGGCCTTCCGCAGCAGTCGATTCACAGAGACGCCGTTAATGCTGCGTACAGTGGCCGAATGGATGGTCACCGGACCGGCGAAATACACTGGGCCTGGGGAACAGAGAGAATGGTCAAAAGGATAATGTACGATACAATTATGAGATAGGTTACATACAAAGGCCATGCATGAGACACGGTTGCAGGTCGAAAACAAGCAAGAAAACAAGGAAAACAAGGAATATGGTCACACGGGACTCCGACTCCGTTGAAGGACAACACATGCCAAACGGCATACAGAGCACTCCCAGATGTTAACACACGGTTACATGGCCCGAGTTTAATTCATTCTTACTAGTCAGTCGTCCGCAAACCCGACTACCCATTCCCACCCTTGATTCCCACCCTCAGTGGGCAGTCTTGTTTAGTGACAAACAGTGACGCCAGCACTGTCCCCGTGCCTGGTCATCACTGTTCCCGCACTATCTTACCGGTGAGCAGACCATAATTACAAAAACCCCGCCGATGTCACTGTACCCCGCACTATCTTACCGGTGAGCCGGCCGCCTCCGGACAACACCGCCTGCTGCATCACCTTCTTCACATCGATGCCGTTGATGTACTGGACCCGCAGGTCAGCCACGGTCAGGCTGCTGAATCGGGTCACACCGGCTGTAACAGAGGACATACAGGGTTACAGGTAACACCACCCTATTACCTGGCACCTGACTAAAGACCCGTTCGACACACTGAAGACATTTGCGCAACAGAGTGACATGGACAACGAAAGTAGGGACGACGAGGAGTCCCTACTTTGCAAACTAAGCTGGATGGAGGCACGCTGAGAAAATTTCTATGCAGTGATTTGCCAACACCGATTCATGTGTTTAATGTGAATCTCCATCAAACGAAACAAGGAGACAAATAGTGGGCTACGTTTGGCCATGTTAAATAAAATGCATGAATATAAAACTGATCGCAGCCCTGTGCCACTATCCTGGCAGTTTTGCTCAAAGACCTGCACCCTGACTGACCTGGCTATGTCCCCTGCACCACTGACCTGACAGCATCCCCTGACTGACCTGGCAATGTTCCCTGCACCAGCACGGTGTCACCGCTGACGCGAAGTCCGTTCACAAACTGAGCACGGACATCGGCTGCGGTTACATGACCGCCCAGAACCTTACTGGCCGTGATATCGTGGTCACCGCTGAGTGTGACGAAACTGGACGGTCGGACATGGCTCAGAGTGCCGACCGTCAGATTAGCCTGGGGACAGTCACGGTAAGGAGGGTCGTAAAAAGTCGAGCAGGCAGACCGAGTCGAGTAGCAGTTCAAGCTCACACGTTGGTAACAGCTCAACCTTGCCCTGCAGCTGTCGGTCCCGGTTTACTCTGGCGATCTCGCATAGCCCCATGAGTTCCTACTTTATCGCTGATCCCGGAGATCTCATCTCCTCCATCAGGCCAGCTCATTCTATCGTTCCTGATTTAAAAGGCCATTCAATCAGTCCTAATTCATCACTCACCAGCCCACCCTCTTGCATCGATCCCAAGTCCCGTCCTAGTATTCCTGGCTCACATGTTCACCCTCTCGCGATGTGATGAGCGACGTGGGCCTGTCGTTTTTACCATCTCATATTCTCACCCCATCATCCTGTCTCACCCGTCCCATATCATCCCTATTTTCTCTCTGTCTCACCCCAGCGCTCAGCCGGAGACTGTCGAGCGTCAGGCGCGCGGCCTCGCTGCTGAAAGGTCGGTCCGTGCGCACCAGGGCGGCCAGCAGCTCGGATACGTTAGTGACGCTGTTCAGTGCGCGCAGCTGCAGTCGTCGCGCGGAGACGGTGCTCAGGTGCCACGAGCCGGTCAGGATCACCGCTGAAGGGAAAACATTCGATTAGAGGTGACTCAGCCCGGGTGGCAGGCGGGGATAGAATACATAATTAGACCTAAAATCAGTACACGTTTCAAGCACGAAACAATCTCTAACTAGTTGTATGGTACTCCTTATATGCAAGCAAGTAACTGCACTAGAACATCATAAAGTGAAGGTCTTATCATATTTTTAGCCAAATATCAGTTTGCTAACACAGGAAACTAGGCGGTTTACCGACTCAGTACCAGCAACTCGTCGCAACCACCATCCACTTGGCTCGACTTCGTTCACGTCGAACACCTGTTGCGTCATACCTACCACTTTCTAGGTCACATCAAACACCTCCTCCATCACATTCATCACCTCCTCCACCACGTCCACGTACTCTGCGCGAAGGTGTGGTTGGCGGCGATGGAGACGGCGCCGTCCAGTCGCTCTCGCAGCCTATCCAGAGTGATCAGACTCTGCTGTAGCCGCCCACGGAGAGTCGACAGCCGCGCCAGCAGTCCGGAGTTGAGGGTCACGTTGTGCGGCAGACGGACCTGGAAATAGTGGCGGTGGAGTGGGTCAAACCGAAGGAAGAGAACTCGCCTGAGCAGGTGGAAAAAAGGCGAAATGGAGGCTGGGCCGGCTGGGCCCCACAAAGGCCCTTGTTTTAATTATGCAACTAGCACGGTACAATGGCAGAGGACAAGATAAATACAAGGGATGTAGCAGCATGAGAAGTCTGTTTTGTGACTTTCCGTTGGGCGAGGGCAGTGTGAGTGAAAATGGAACAAATGTCCTTCAACCCCTACAGCACTCCAGCCTCTCCTTCAGAAATATTTTCCTCCACCCTCCCATCACTCACGTTATCCACAGACACGGCGCTGAAGTGCACCAGCTGCGTCGCCTTCACGTGCAGAGACACGAACGTCACGGGCTGGTCGACCCGGGGCGCCTCCTGCAGCCGAGCTCGCAGGGCGTCCACACGCGGCTGCAGCCGTCCCAGCTCGGCCTGCAGCCCGCTGCACCACTCCGTGCAGCCGGTGTGCAGGTTGAGCAGGTCGTGGCGCCGCTCGAACCGCAGCCGGTACACGGAGGGTAGACCGTCCGGCCCGGCGGCACTGCCCACCGCTGGCGGGCGGGTAGGAAAGGGGTTAGCGTATTCTAACGTGGCGGGCAGATCGCTACATTGTGGGAGGTAGGCACTAGGCGGGGAAGCTAACAGTTCACTAGCTCGGAGTTGGAAACGAAGCATTACTGCATCGCCGCAATCAATTTTAGGCTCCCTTCATCCGACTCAATCATGTTTGAATATGAGATAGCTAGAAGCACCAGCAGATAATCGTAATTTAGACCTCGCCCGTATAGGTGTTTTGCCAGCCTCGAAGGTCCGCTGGACCCCCCCCCCCTTGCCGTTTCCCCCTGATCGAGTTACAGCAACGAGGAAAAACGAGCGTGTTGCTCGTGATGAAAGGAAGCCGATGATACCCGATTTTAAAGTCCTAGGCCATTGGTGACCTTCTAGGTCAGGTCAATGACCGAAAAGTCGGGAAATCGGGACCTGTCAGAACTCCGTAATGTGAGGTTGTTATGTCATTTTCGGGGTGCTGATCACAAATGTCATGTTAGTTTTGATCACATATCATGTCTTTATGCATTCAGACCAGGTCGGGTCAGGTCAACCAGTAGGCGTCCTGCCGGGTAGCCGGTAGGTAGGTACTCATAGTAAGTGTCAACCACCATAGACAGCTTCGTAGCATGTTACGAATGCACCAAAACTTCTTCGTAAATGTTCAAATGGCTTCTAAATTCGAAATCAGCTCCAAAAACTACCTTGAATAGGTGACTCGAAAGTGAACGGAAACGGCATTTACTCAGCGGCTCGCTATCGGTCACCGCGCCGTGCGGCACAGCATACCACTTCAGGCAGTCACTACTAGCGCCATCTATTGCCAATGGTGCGACCTACGCTACCAAAGCCACGACTACGGCTTTCGAAATCGGTAGTTTTGAAAACCCATGCCTTTTCGTTGGAAGAAACGTGATTGTAATCCCATTAATTCCGAAGTCATAGTCGTCCTAGTCGCGATAAGATACTGGGAATCCAGCATAGGTGATACCCGTCCACGTTTGGTCGCCAATTGAGCTACTGGGTCATGCTCCATAACGATCTTAACATGTCTGGTGATAGCAGATTTATGTGTGCCTTCGTATTTTTTTTTTGCAGGATTTCCAATGCCCAAAACTATTAAAATAAATATGGGTCAGATTGAGTAATACAATAGAAAGAATCGACCACGTGCACACAGCGTAAACTCTTGACAGAGCTCAGGGTCAACATCCTAGAATCAATATGTCGCTTCGATGGGGTGAATATTAACCCCTTTCGTCGATGCATGTCACGAGTAACAGTAGCTGCTGCGCTCAATAGCACGAGTGGTCACGTTATTTTGTGCAATGAATGGCGCAGTGATATTGTTCGAGGTGTTGGTGCGCATCAACAGCAGCATCATGAGCCCATGTGATGACACTGATTACTGCTCTAATTGGTGGTAACTGGTCACGACTCTGGTGACGCTCCGCCACTTGTTTCGAGTCACGGCAATCGCTCAGCTTTTCAATGTCATCGGAAACGAGACAAAACACAGACGTTCGGGCTGCAGTGTATTTTCTAAGCATAACTACCATAAGTTCAGCACCAACTACAAGCATACACTAGTAAAGATAAGAACAACGGCGAAATGAGGCACTGAGGCAGAAACGTTGTTAGCATAGTAACTACAAAGCGTTAGTACACAATAGTACAGTTGCGTTGGTTGCGATAGAAACAAGAATCGCAGCATCTGCAGTCTGCACATACGAGCTTCAAATGACTCACAACACAGCAGCTGGAAAGCAGACTGCAAGATTCACAAAATCTATAAGCATTTTAATTTGAAAGACAAGAGCTTGAACAAAAGATAGACATGTGGAAACAAAGAGGGAGATGAAGGTATTTCTTAGTGACTACAATCACGGAGCTATGGGTTACAAAGCACTACAGCAGGCTACCAGAAGCCCCAGAACCAAGAAGCATACAGGGACAGTAGTGCACAAGATAGAGGCACCTAAACTACACTACGTTTGACATTCGACGCTTCGTGTAGTTAAAAACACCAAAGACTGTCACCCATTATTCACCAGTCCACCGCAGCGCGAACGTAGGCGCTCTACACGGCGACCGGACCGTGTCACCTCCCGTCCAGGACTCCCACTGCGGACAGTCGGGCGCCGCCCGACAGGACTAGCTGTGAGCTGGCAGTCAGCCACCGCCCTCCCACAGTCGAGACCTGCATCGACGTCTGACACACACTCGATACAGATACCCGGCTGTGAGTGGGCAGCGCCGACACCTTCCTCTCGACAATCGTTCCTCTGCTGCTCCTGGGCCGCCGAGAGGGTCCCAATCACAGTCGTCTAGCTACAGAGCCAGCTCGCCATACAGCGAGTGGTCGGACTACATCCACCGGTCCGGCGGCGGTGGGGAACTCACTCAGGTGGCTGAAGCCGTCGTGTGTGAAGGACGAGAGGCGAGTGTCACCAGCCGGCACCAGTGGCACCAGGGTCACCAGCACAAACCGCCAGCCGGTGTACTGGTACAGCTTCAGACCGGAGTTGTCCAGGAAGGCCAGGACGAACTCGCCGCTGGGGCCCTGAGGGACACAGAAGGGTGGCGCAGGGAAGGTCAGCTGAGAGGTCGGGCTCGCCGGAAGGAGAGGTTGAAACGATCCAAAGCAACCAGTTGACGATTACAGCAACATAGTCCGGGGCTAGCGATTATCAAAGTGGTGGCAATAGAATATAAAATGAGTAGCTCAATATTCATCGATGGAATTGGAAAAGGACCGAGTGTTCCGTTTGGGCCAACAAGATGGCAAGCTTGGGCTGCACTAAGTGATAAAACGGTCCAGCTACACATGTTGACGGACGCAACACATGACAACCGCCCGCCGCCTGTCCCGCACCCTCCCCTTCCCCTTCACTGACCCAGACGGGGAGCACATCTCTGGCTCGAACGGTCGGGATGCACTGGAACGGCACAAACTGGCTCTGGGAGAACTTGTAGATGACAGAGCTGACCCCGTAGTCCACCTCGTCGGCAGCAGAGTCTGCGGTAAGCGTAAAACGGTGGTAAGGACCGGGTGACACACTGCAAATTACGGTATCAAATATTCATCGGGCACTAAGAGGACGAGATCGATATTAGATCGACACTATCGATATTAGACGAGAAGACTCACTGACGACCACTGTGACACTATATGACTTGACTGTTTTGTCGACAACTAACGGCAACAGTTACGCAAACGGTACTCACTGTTCGACCCACAGCACTTCGGCTGCCCCTAAAATGCAGTTAACTCCCCTCAGCTGTCACCCTCCTTTGTTTGTTTGTTAATTGGGGCTTTAGGGCGCGCCGACTGCTAAGGTCATTTTGCGCCCATCACCCTCCTTTACGACGCCGTCGGTCCACTTACCTCGGTCGGCCTGGTTGGCCACCACCAGAAAGTGCTCGGCACTGACGCCGTCTCCCCAGCTGAAGTGACGGAACCGGACGGCGCCGCGCGTCGGCAGACGCTGGTACGACCGGTACTGACCCGTCGCCAAACTGTAGCGCAGCACCTCGCTATACAGGTTCAGACTGCCTGCAGAGCGGTAAAGGGGACTGATCACCAACAATGTGGGGGAGGCGAGTGCTGATACGAGTTGCAACTGTTATGCTGTCATCACGGGGAAATCCTTGGAGTTGGAGGTTGTGTTAAGACCAGCCAAAAAAGGTCACGAAAAACCGAAACACGGTAGCTAGATGAGGAAAATACCCCAGTAAATACTTTCAAATAAACGCTTCGCCGTTAGAACATCCCGTCCATCCGGCGGTCCCCCGGGCCACCCACCGTCGTTGTTGCGGTGGTTGGCCACCGCCAGGAACGAGTGGCTGTGCATGCGGAACGGCTCCAGATCCCGAGCACCGTGCGTCGGCACCGCGTGGCGCAGGAAGTTGCCGTCCGTCCACTTGAAGACGCTGCTGTTGACGTGGTAGTTGGCCCTCCCGTAGGCATTACTCTCAAACTCGGAGGCCACGCCGATGTGGACCGTATCTAAGTTTTTCCTGCACGCCAAAAACAATGTGTGAGGTCGGCGTTAATACAACACAAACGGGCTGCATCCAGTACTTGATAAAACAAATAACAATGAAATAGAAGAGAGCATCAACATAAGAAATATGAGGAAATAAGCACAAGAAACCACAAAGAATCAACAAGAAAACAAAAGGTTATTGCATAGACTACACCCTGTAATACAGTTAGGTATAGTCTATGGTTATTATGATATTGTATAATGATAAATACAGCATTACTACACATGCATTCACCGACTCGAAGAACGCACAAGAGGTACCTAATTCCCTCTCCACCCCGTTTACGCACCAGATGGCCACGTCGGTGGGATGGCCGCCGGGCAGCACGTGCTGCAGCTGCAGCTGTCCGCCTGTCAGCCGGTAGAGCACCGAGCCCTGCTTGTCGGCCCGGTTGGCGCCGCAGTCGTACTCGGCAGCCAGCACGTACCGGCTGTTATCGCGCACGAACGACGTGAACTCGACGGCGCCAAACGTCGACAGGTTGGAGCGTGCCGTCCATGAGTCACCCTAGGTGAGCGAGAAGAGATGGCAGGCAGAAGTCAGGGAGGGTATAATGGTCAGCAGATTCTGCAATAAATATAATAGAGGAAAGTGGCTGGGGTGGTGGTGGTGGGATAGGACGAGTGACGCTCCCCGGAACTGTCGCACCAAGATGAGGGACCACCCAAAAGGGATGATGAGCCAAATGGAGTGAGAGAAGAGGGAACTAGGACACCCAGTGGTTGGTGTGAATGAGGAGCTCCAGGTCGAGCAGCAGGCTTGACCTGGAGCAGGCCAGGAGTAATTGTGTGGGCTATAGGACACCCAGATAAACAAGGGAAAAACTCAACTGCTGCTGCAACAATTCATGGTGATTACTGTTAAACCAGCCTGCACAGATAATCATCAAATATGAAGGGATGGAGAAGCAGAGGAACATATTCAATTATAAGAGAGGAACAAAATACCCATGACATGTAAGTTTCTAGATAAGTTTCACTTCAAAATGTAACAATGCTTTCATTCTCTGTTCCTGGAAATTCCAACAGCCTGTCAGGACAAATTAACATACCATTCTGATATATCAGAGGCCAGTTTAACCAGCAGAAAAATAGCCACTTGCCAGAATTTTTTGTTTAAAAACCACTTCACATACCGAGCGTAAGCAGTAAAGCCCTATCCCTATCCTCTTACATGCCCATCATTCATCAAGTTTACACTGTGTGCAACTGTGCACCTTCACCCCAGAGGGCTGTTCACGGGCCCTGTGTGCGGTCGGACCACACACAGCCTCCAAGCTCCGCCCACTGCGCCCCTACGTCAGCCTTCCGTCACCGCACACAGCGACCGCTGTGGCTGGTCGGGACTGGCCACAGCGGACCGTCCACCGCACGCAGCCGTGACGTCATAACCGCCTACCCATCCCCTACCCCCACGCCTGCTGGACGCACCGCACACACCGCACGCAGCAGTGTGCGGTGCCTGTGAACACCCCTCAGGTAAGGTGTGTGAAGTGCCTGGTCTTTAGGCAAAAAATTCCAGCAGGCAGCTATTTTTCTGTTGGTAAAACTGGCCTCCTGTCCTGAATACAAGCTTAACAAGAAAGGCATAGACTTGAAGGTTGCATTATTTAGAAAACTCACCACCAGCTCATATAGCCAACTGGTTTTCGATCCTCGTCCAAATGCTGCCAGGGCATAGGTCTTGTCCTGGTCTTTGAAAATGTGCACATGCTGGGCTCCAGGGGCCGGGAAGTCCCACACCTTTTCTGCACCATTGTCCTTCTGCAGAACATCTACACCTGCAAAAGAGAAAATGTTAGTAGAAAGCCTAGACTCTAGAGCAGTGACAGATCAGGTCCAAGTGATGCATGTCATTTGACAACTATTTTATCCATGATTGACAACTGACATAGCAAAGCAAGAAATGAAGGAATCGGCATCATTGTCATAGCCCTAAAATAAGTACAGGCTCTATTCAACAGTCAGTGCCGGGGCGGAAGCGCCAATGAAACGTGCATATCTGCCCCAGGCTCACCCAAAAAAATGAAAATGCAAAACAAAAATAATTGAGTTTCGAGACCTACCAGCGCCACCCACCAATAGTACCAATATTATAGACTACGACTGCGCCCTAGTCTCATTCGCCGACCCTACAAACAGGGCCCTGTTTCACGGCGGAGCGCTGCAGTCGTTGGGTTTCCATGGTAATATCAACAAACTTCCCTCTGACGCTACGCTATGACGTCATCGCAAAACGCTAGCACCCAAGCGCCAGCACCAACAGCACGCTAACAGCATTCGCACTCAAACCTCTGTTCTCTCTGTACTTGATTCTTTAGGACCTCTGTTCCAAACGCGATTCATTATAAGCTAACGGATCGCACGCAACGTCATTCAAGTGACGTCAGGGGCACGCCTCAGCTCCCAGCGCGCTGCAGCGCGCGCAGCGTCGGGCGGTGAAACAGGGCCCAGGAAGCAACCGAAAGGCATCTGCTGGGGAGTATTTAAAAAAAGTCACCGAAAGTAGGAATCGGTCAGAAATACCGATACCCGTTCAATTGTCTATTGAGGAAGTCTACATTATAAATGGTATTATAATTTCATAATGAAATTAAATAAGAAAAGTGATATTTCGTAATTTCACCTGTCCATCGCAGCTTACAACCACAAAGGTAATAACAAGTCAATATTAATTTCGCAACTTATCCTCACTATTGACTTTCATGCAGAAGCGACGCAGCAGCGACAAAAGATCACAAAAAAGCTTTTGTGTTTTGTGTACACGTGAGCTAATCTAAACTTCAAGCCATTATATTATTTTTCATGAAATTAGATTCCACTAGTTGACTTATACCATTCATATCACATTATTACATCTACGTATCTCAGGACGGTATTAGTAAGCCTTAGTCAAAGTGTGCTCAACGCAATTAATATTGATATTTACCCCGCGTTCGATGTCTCCCGGACGGCAAAGATTCTATGCCGTCCGGGCCCGAAATGGCGTTCGATGTCGCACGGACGGCAAAGATTCTACGTGACGTCACGTAGAATCTTCGTCGTCCGCGCAGAATCTTTTGAGCGTACTACGGTGGGCAGAGAGGCAATGATGGCGCGTATTTCAAAAGCGGCGCAGCAGCTGTTTGCAGAAGTTGTTGACACTTATGCGCGGTCTCTATGGAAACGTAAACTTGGGCCTTTTTCGAAACTGACGCACATTGTGTAAGTGGCGCACAAAATGGCCGGTCTCGTCGTCCGCCTGTGTGCTTCATCGAACGCAAAATAGAATATTGATATTCTGCGTAGAATGTTCTTCGTCCGAGGAGACATCGAACGCGGCCTTAGTGTTTAGTTCCACATTAATGAGAGATGTTGCATAAAATCTCAAAATAAATCGATTGCAGGTTCTGTCCTGGTGCATTGTCTCTTTTTATACAAACCTTCAGAACAATCAGGAATTTAATTGATACCTGCACGTTTGTTTTTAATCCAGAGATTAGCACTTCATAGATTGCATTAAAGGGACCATCCCACCTTAACATTAGTTTTGAGTTGAGATAGCCAAGTTTGCGGCCAGGCTCAGAAACCACCATTTATCCTGGTCGCAACCCCCGCAGCTTTATGGCGTTCAAGAAATTTCTTCCCTTTACTTGCAGGGTGGGACCAGCTTAGTCCCTATCTCTTAACCATTAGCGGTTTTTTGATGACGTCAGCAGTCATTTCAACGCCCGCCATTCCTTGAACCCGAGTTTTGCTGACCTTGAGCTCCCTTTTTTATCAACGTGAAATCCGTCGTCGGCGCTGAGAAAGCCTATTGCTTTTCATTTTAATTTGAATATTAGAAGATACCCACCACTGGAACTTGGACTGATATTATACCAAGGCCGAAGATGATCAAGCTGCCTGCTATATCTGGAGCTTGGTGTTCAACTTCAACATGGAATAAAAAACAAAATATCAAAGCAAACTGGATATGGTACTGCAAGTTAAAGTCCAAAGAAATTTGAAGAGCTGACAATTGACATTCATTCTTTTCCTGCAAGGTTTCCATATGGAGATCACAGTCATACCATGAAGAAATATTTTTGATGTTAACAGTTGAAAGGGGATTTATCTTCCAGTTTTGACGAAAGACGCTGCTGACTGTCTTTGGAAAAGGATGTCGGCAGGAGGTGCAATTGTGCTTGTGAAGTGGTTATAACTGGTCTTTTCACAGTATTAAATTAAATGTGCCATTGCAGCCAAGTGTGTTATCATGTAAGGTAAAATCAAAACTACAATGTTGGTTTTACGAGCATTGAGAACTTGAGAAGGCTGGTAGGTAACACCTGCCTGTGCTCGTAAATCATGCTGCCAGAGTATTCTAAATTAATTTTATCATACACTTTTGTTGTCCAGAATGGTTGCACTATTGTTTGGTATCATATTATTCCATGTAAATATGGTAGTGTAAAGTCTGACCAACATGTTACCAGATTTGAAGCTGTTACGTTACCTAAGTACCTGTTTTTTACTGGCGTGGTGAATGTCACCTGGATTTTGTTTTGAGGTGCAGACCTAGTAACTCTGACTACATGGGTTTGAAGCTATTATCTATTCTGTTTTTACTGGCCTGGTGAATGGCGACTGATGTTGTCCGTGGATGGCACTGAAACAAATTTTGAGTGTTTTGTACAGTGTTTTAATACAATGCTGAGGGCTGAAAGTTGTCTTGTTTAGAGTGGTGAAAGTTCAGGATATGCCAGCCACCATGGTGGGTCAGAGTTAAATGTGTTGCAGTCAGTTCGGCTTCGGCAAGCACACGGATGGGCATACGCATCAAGACCTGCTCTGCCATACTTTCAGCCAATTTTACCTAGGTAAGTCTTTTCTTTTTTCTGCCAAAAGCTATGACATTGTGAATTTCAGCACTGTGGCCTGTGTGTAGCTTTCAGGAAAGCAATTCTAAATAAAGCTCTGATAAAGTGCAAAATCAGCAATGCAGCCCTCTATTACATTTTCTACAACATCTTACTTGTTCCTTGCATGGAGAGAAAAATGCAATGTTATGAATTCGTTTATTCACATAATTTGACAAGCATGCAGTTACCTGCTACTATCACTGCACAAAACAGAGCAGAAAACATCAGTTGATCAAACACAAGACATAACAGAAGTTTACAACATAGGGCTGCCGAACCTGCTTCCTCCACCACAGTTGATGCCATTTCCTAGCCTGGCTTGATGTGAGCACTGAATAGCTGCTTTGTCTAATTACAGCTCACTACCATTCAACTTAAACTACTCTCTTTAAAGTAAGAGTGAGAGCGTTCAGTGTTCATAGCAGCTCGACAGACGACAGACAACAAACATCTTGACAAACCAACCAGTATTTGATTTGGCTAATGATTTATGTGCTTGTTGTATCATGGCCAAACTACTTTAACAGCAATAATCCCTGTTTCATCTTGATCTTGCTTTTATTTCCATTTGAACTCAGATCTTGAAACAATCATCTGAAGTGATATCAGATACTGGCTTCTGTTTCTCTTGAAAGCAAGTTAAAACAACAATGATAAACTAAGGCAGGAGATGTGAGTTGTGGTAGTAGATTTTTGATTCAACATATGTCAACCTTATATTGCTTGAGACCTCTGTGACAGACAAACAAATATTTATAGTATTTTGATAGTTTGGATTCTTGGCTTGATTTAGCAGATCAGCTGTGAACCTTGACTTTGAAATCACATAAATGTCATGGTACCCGAACGAATCCTCGCATGACATTTCTTCGTAGCACAATTTTTCGTCCGCATTTCTTCGTCTACAAATCTTCGTCGGTGCATTTATTTGTCCCTCAATGCTTACTCTTGCATATATTTGCGTTGAAGAAGAAATGCGAACCGATTTTCATATACCCTGGTGCGAGACAAAGTAATGCGATAGGTACGAATAAATGCCCTGACGAAGATTTGCAGACGAAGAATTGCGATACGAAGAAATGCCATAAGAATTGTCCTGGAATCCTTTATTGGCCATCATATATTGACCTTGATAAGATAAACGCATCATTCGCGCAATATTTGTCGCACTTTGATACCAAACTATTGCTTCCAAATGCCGACGTAAAGAAAACCTTTATGTGACGTCATAGAAACAGCGGATTTCCCAAAAAGTAAACAAAAATAAAAGTCTTATATCTCGAAAACGGGTGAATATTTTCCGGTAAAATTTGGTAGATGTTCATTTTCGCTCTTTGTGATTCACGCTACATCACTTTTATGCCAATTCATTAACTTTTTTGAAGGTGGGAGGGTCCCTTTAATGGACCCTCTCTAAACGCTGTAATATAGCAGCTAAAAATGATTAATCAGTTTGATCACTTTGATGTCGCTAAAGACAATGCTTGGGTTTGCAGTAGCACTCCCCAGGCTGTTTATGAGATCCTGGGTTCATATTGCAGCTTAGGTAATTCATCAGTTCATGTTGCATCTTCAGGGACAAATTTTGGGCATATTGCATTAATTGAGGGCAAATGTGAAACTTCTTCAGGGTTCCGGATAACTTTGAACCACCCAGACAAGCCCTACAAAGAGATGAAAGATGTTCATGACACCGGTATGCAAGCCCTTGACAGTTGACAACACCACTGAAATCTCATCATATTTGTACCTATGTGCAGACCATCAAAGTGTTTAGAGACCCAGTACACATGCACTGGGTTCAAAAAGTTTCATTTTTGTCAGGATTCAATGAAATTGCTATGACCTCTTCCATTTCATAATAATAACCAGACCTCACATTTGAACAGCAAAACACCCTGGGAGCTAGCTAATGCCTCCCCAGTTCACAAGGTGTCTTCCTTTCCCAGCAGACCTGAGAACGGATCGCCTGCCATGAGTGCCCCGGCAGCGGCGGAGGCGGCGGCCGCCGAGCTGCGCCTGCTGCTCGACCTGGAGCAGCTCGAGGGCGAGATGGAGCGCATGATGGACCACCAGGAGCTGGCCGAGACCTGCCAGCTGCAGCTCACTGAGCTAGAGATGCTGGCCGCCATGTTCCCGCAGCCCGGCGAGCTCAAGGTCATCGACCCAGCGGCCGTGGCAGAGATGACCGAGTTCGTGGAGGGCAGTCTGCACGACCCGCCGGCGCGGCTCGACTACACCATCGCCTTCCAGACCGGCGACCAGGTGGGCGAGGGGGGGGGGCACACGGACTGTTCCCGGCGGCCGTCGCGGCACTGGAGTGCGTTGGACGTCGCGGATTAGAAGATGCTAAATCTTCACCACTGAAGCCATCTAAACGGGCTCCCTATGTGCAGTTTTTGCCACAAGTTTGGTTGGAAAATGACATGTCGATTTTTGCTCCAGTTTAAAAGCTCATTTCCAGATTTACATGAGCGAGATTATGACCTTTCATCCCCTCTTTCTTCCATCGCGAAACCTCGTTTTTTTCCCCCAAATTGCCTGCCCGATCTGACCGCGATCTTCCTCTGTCCGCCAGGGAAAGCTGGAGCTGTCTGTGCACCTGCCTCTCGACTACCCTAACGTGGAGCCGGATCTGTTCGTTCGCTCAGACGGCCTGAACCGCGCCCAGTCGCACACCATCAACCAGCACCTGGCCGAACACGTGCGGGTGAGAGCCCGCAGAATGAGAAGACCATTCCTAGTATTTGAATGGCGGGTAAAAATAAAACATGTATTAGCTGTTGGTTTTCTCATGAGGGCGAGTATCCTTTTGCACATCCGAGACACTGTCATACTAAACCTTTTTTTAGTGATGCATTGTACTCTGTCCCCAAACATAACAGTCATATCTAAGACTTATGTCATCGATTCCCCACCCACAGACGCTGGAGCCTGGACAGCTTTACATCGGCACCGTGGTCGCCTGGCTCCAGGACAACGCTGACAAGTATATTCAGAACGACGCTCAGACCAAGGACGAACCTACCGAGGTAACACAACTGCAGCCCGTCGTAATTTCTGGTTTAAACACAGTCACCCGGGTAGTAGAACACTGATCGACTCTTGATTTTATTCACCCTTTGTTGAAGAGGAAAGTTACAATACAAGCGCTTTATCCAGTTCTTTTTGTGAAGTGGAGTTCACTAACAATATGAACGTGTATCGGGCGAGTCTCAGGGCATGTCTTTCCCATCTCCATCTTAAGCGCACCACCCTGCTCACCGCGATGCCCGCCCTCCACCCGGGCTCCTCTCTCCTCCCGCAGCAGTGTGAGGCGCCAGACGTTTTCACCCGGCTCTGGATCTACTCCCACCACATCTACAGCAAGGTGAAGCGACGAGACATGCTCGAACTGGCCAAGGACTGCGCCGTCACCGGATTCAGTTTACCCGGCAAACCGGGGATCATCTGTGTGGAGGGCCCGGCGGCCAACACAGCTGACTGGTGGAAACGGGTGAGCGGAAGGGGCACTCCACTGGGAAGGGGACTGTGGTGGAGGGGGAGGGGGGAACTTAAAACGAACGCTAATACTAATACCGTGCTGTCAACTCGTAACGAGATAAGAGGTGAGGTTGGTGATGGGCCGTTATCCATTATGGTCTATGGATCATCGTTCTCTATAATTATCGGTCGAAGAAACGATTCATCTGTATGGCGGTCGTGAAAGGATAAAAGTCGATCATGTCGTGCAAGCTATCTCGATTGACACTTGTCGAATACTTCTATTCATGAAGGCCCAAGATCCCAAACGGAACGTTCGAGAGCTTGCCAGGCTCGTTTGCCCAGTACCCAATCGCTTCTTAACGGCACTCGCCACGTCTGACCCCACTGCGCTTCTCTGCAGGTGAAGGCATGGAACTGGAAGCGGATCATGCTGAAGAAGCAGGAGGAGATCCCGCTGGCCGACGGCGCCACACACGACAGTCTGCGGCTGTTCAGCGTGTTCGAGGAGCTCAACTTCCTGCCGGCCGTGCGCTCCGGCGCCAACGAGCACCGCATGGACATGGGTCGGTTCTTCCAGTTTCTGGAGGAGCACCACTGCGCCCAGGTGTTCAAGGACTATTTTGGGGTCAGTGGCCGGCCGGCCGCCGCCGCTGCGGCGACGGGAAAGGATTGATGACGGCGGGGGAATGGGCTGGTGAAATAGGGGTGTGTGGTGAAAGCTGGGGGGAGGGTAATCAATGAATGAAGGTGCCACCAGTGGTGATGGCTCATAAGACGTTAGTCTGCTTGTTGAGAACCTATTTTTGTACCTTCCCGCCTATTATTTGCTCGTTTGTGGTGTGTTTGTTGCGGTAGTCGAAGCTAATACGATGAATACCTCACATTGATCGAAATATTGCTAATTTTGATGGATCGTAGTTTATTGAAACGTTTATTTTTCATCCCATTCATAAGTGCGTTAATCAGAATCTTCAAGGGTTCAGGGTGCCGGCGAAAAATGGTGGTTTACGGTTTAGAACGTTGGATGTACGGGCGGTGGGGACAATAAAAGATCGACTGGAAATGTAGAACGCTGGGTTGACACGTACCTGATGCAACAGGCAGGGCACAAAACAGGTACAGTGAGTTTTTGAAACGTGATAGTGGTACCTGATTCACAGTTTATATTTATTAGAATATAGATGTGGGTCTGGGGCCTGAGCTGTGGGATAAGGGAACTTAGTGCATAGTAGCTAGATACATAGTAAATCGGGTCAATTTTTAGCGAGTTAGGGCATCGGGACACTAGGGGCTGGTAGATTTAGGCGAACACCAAAGGCTGGGAGGGGTCACACTAACATGTAGCTATATAGGTTAACCGAGCGTGCTGTGCCGCGGTACTAACGGTTTTGTGCGTTTACCCTCGCCCGGATGGTGTCACTTTTGTGACGCGATAGGTTAGTAGGTGTTTGTGATGAATATTTGTAGCCATTGCCCTGTGTTCAAAGACTTTTGAATACTGGAGGTAAATGACCCTCTCAAGTGGGCCATTCCCGGATCGGTGGCGTGCCTTCCATGTTTCCTACCGGTGTTTCTTGATTGGATGTTTTTATGAAGTTTGTATTTTGACTTGGCAAACCCGACATACGATTGTGTGGTTGTTTCTCCCGCATGCAATTCGTCCTCATTGCCTAAGTCGCGATGCCTTCAAGTCGTTCCTGTCTGCTAGTATATGTAAACTCTAAAGACACATATAAACGGCTTTTTCCCAAGTGACTGTTAAATGGATTTTTGCTCGTTTTTTTTTTTTAGAGCAAGCGGGATCGTGGATAGCACCCATTTACTATGGTGAATCGGCAAATATTTTAAAGGTGTTTGATTTAGCTGATGTATAACGTCTGTATGGTTGGTCCAGACCGTTTCGTACCCTACCAGGGTTCGCATGTGTCGCAATTCTGCCGTTTGTATTTTCTACCCCACGTTTGATACCTCGATGTTAGCTGATCCGCTTTGTCAGCAAATATACAAAATTCAGCAAATTGCCGCGTTTGACTCTGCCCTGCTACCCAGTGATTCGATCTCCGCTCGACTGGAAACGTGATATGATTACCGCGCGAGCGTCGTTCAGCTCTCTGCTGCTGGACCAAGATTTGAAGCAGAACCGAGTGACAAGATCATGTCATCAGCTCACTCGCTGCCTTACCTTGCTCGTCGCGGTGCAGCGCCATTCCGGTCTCGGGGACACTCCGCCTGGCGCGATGGTGCTGCCGCCCGGCAGTCGAGAGGTGAACTGATTGGACGGCCTTTAGCCTATCGGCGACGCTGGAGAACAGGCGGCGCCGAAACCGCTCCACCACGGCTGAAATGACGTCCAAAGCGGTCAGATTACACCGGATGCTGCGCCGAACCCTAGGATGACGCCGATATGCTTGCATTCGGTCACTTAGTGTATTGTTTGAGCTCAGCTCTGCAGTCTTCACAATCCCTCATGAACGTAAAAAGGCGCAGAAATGCGGAGATATCCAAATTTCAACAGCTAATAGCGACAATGACAAAAGGCGATAGCTTACAATCGCCGCCCCTAAAACTCAAAATCCCGGAACTCAAGACCAGGTTCCATGCTACCCACCCCACTCACCGGTGGCATTCTCAGCAGGCGGCGGACCGGGCTGGGCGGTCGGCGCGCCCCAGCCCAGCAGGCCGAGAGTACGGGCCAGCAGGCCGGCCTGTGCCGCTGGCGGTCCGGTGCTGGTCCCAGCGGCCACCACGGCGATCAGCAGTGGCAGCACGAGCCGAGCGACCAGCATGGTGGCTGGGGAAAGGCAGAATGGTAAGGCAGACTGGGGTAATCGGATTGAGGTCACATTATCCCTCTCAGCTGTGCAATGCATGCACCAACTGTCGCGGAAAAACGCTTTCTAACTGATCATACAAGTTAACGGTTCGCAATATCTCGACTTATCGACCAGTCTCTTCACGTAGAACGGGTAGCCTGAAGTGAAGCAGTTTTTTGTTTAAGTTGGAGCTAAATAATTTTTGTGTTGTCTAAACAACATTGCAAATTAAATGTCACCTGAGGTGCACCCATTTCAGCTTTTATGACCTAACTCGACAAAGTAATCGGTACATTTTACGTCGCAGAAGTGTCCCAACTGTAGCAATCTGCTCAATGCCTCGCGTGCCACGCTGTAGGCACACACGGTACTTCCCCGTTGTCGGTACTCAACGCGCCAATGATCCCCACACGCGACTGCAAATGGGTTGTTGCAGAGCCAGCCCTTATCTGACACGAGGCGACGAGTCGACGCTGCCGAACTCCGCCTCTTCTTTCGCCCGTCAGACTCCCAACAAGCGCAGGCCAGATAAGTCTTAACTCTTATATACCGAGCTATCCGAGACAGTAACACACGGGTCCACTGTCCAGAGCCACCAGCGGACAATACTCGGTAGATAACCGGTGACCCGGCGCGCGCGTCCCGCTCCCGAACCACGCGCCCGTCGCCTACCGCCGTCGGCCGGCGACTGACGCCAGCTGAGCGTGACCCAGCTGACCTCGACCCGCCGCGGGTCAAGGTCAGCCGGCCGGGCCAGGCGGGAGCGCGTCCCACCCCGCGCGGCTTGACCGACTGCCGACGGCGGGCCTGTAGCAGGATAGGGAGTGCCCGCTGGAAATGGCGATAGTCTGGTCCCTTCACCGTCCAATGACGAGTTTATGGCTTTGAAGTTCAGCTCCAACTCCAGATGCTTCCAATATAACAAAGTCATAATAGGATGTTAATATCCATTCAAGTTTAAAGTAATTCAATGGAATTCCAAAAGCGGTCCGTTCCACAAATGTCACACGTTTCCATAGAATTATTGTTGCCAGACGGAGGTGCAAATTTAAACTATTGAAATTAAATTGGCACCCGTAATCTGGCTCGACGTTTGTTTCGCGACTTCCATTAGTAACGGTAGCTACATGCACAAAACAAAATACCAAGCTCTACCCTCAGCGCGATCATGCAGCGGTACCGCCTATCGACTTTCAATTGTCAGCGGCGCCTCGCTTTGACCATCGACCAGGGACGGGCGTCGCCCGCCCAGTCAATATCTGGAGTGTCAAAACAGTGGCGCAGACACCTGCAGGCACCTGCGGAGACTGCAGACTGCTCGGTGGCTTGGCTGGTAGGGGAGAGTGGGGAAAGATGCCCAGGGTTTTACTATGTCATATATTATTCGAAAATGACGATCGGAAAGCAAAAACTTGGAGTTTCAACGGAAGTCGACATCATTGTTCTCCAAAAATATCACACTTTCGTGCCTGAAATATGATAACTTTTTTTGCTATTAAGCATTTTCCTGAAGAAGTCAAAGGGGGCATCTTACCCCACAGGGTGGGAAAGACGCCCCTGGCGTTGGGGAAGATGCCCCCTGCACTATAAGTGACATAAATGAGCACGTGAATCGCCTGAACGAATCATAGTCCCTTCGAGCCTGCAGTAGACACCAAACGTCATCGTAAGGGCCCTCAAAAGTGGTCGTAAGGTGCTTCAGAAGTCATCGTTAGGGTCATCATAGTCCAGCGCGGCCAAACAAGCTTCCGTGGTGGCGTTCGGAGACCACTGTGGGGCCCTTATAGGTCTTCATGATGCTTGAGGGCCCTCGAGCCCATCGTGGGGACCTCAGATGCCAGCGCGGCCCGTGGAGCCAACGTGGGAGCCCTCAAAGGATATCGTGAGGGGCCCTGGAGCCAATAATGGGGCCCACCGAGGCCGTCGTGAGGGCTCTCAGAGTCGGATGCCGCCCAAAAAGTCGCTGTGTGGGCCGAGAGACCGGCATGGGGAGCACCCGACCGTACTGAACTCTCAATAGTCCCAGATCGGCTTTTGTCTCTCATCACAAGCATGTAATAAATGATTTGACGGGCTGCTTGAAGGACAGCCTACGGATTTAGGGGGGCGTCTTTCCCCATCAGGACAGGGGGCATCTTACCCCAAGGTACCGAAGTAACATTAAATCAGTACAATATGTTAGCCATAAAACTACACCCTGAAACAAACTGTTTGGGACACAGTACACGCATGTTAATGTATCACGACTATATCAAGGGACGCAAAAATTATCTACCTTCTTTGATATTTACAATGTTTTAACACCAAAATATTTTTCGAAAGCAGCAAATAAAAAACATGCATTCACCAGCCAGCCGTTGCCCAACTGAGCTTCGCAAATTTTTGTGCAGTTAACAAGGCAGGCTTCCGCTTTACGCTAAGAACATTAATTTCCGGGTTCAATTCTTTGTTTCGCCGCTAGAGGGGGTGGGGCGTCTTTCCCACCCTGGGCATCTTACCCCACTCTCCCCTAACCGTCCGATGAGGTGGTGTTTTGGAACAGTCCACGCCGTGCCCGTATTTCGCACGTAGAACATTCCACGGCAGATCGCGCCAGATTTTTCAGTGTGACTGCCTCATCGTAACGATTCCAACGAATAGTTATCATTGGCTACAAACACATGTGGACATGTTTGACCAATGAAGTCAATTTTTTACTATATAAAAGGAGGGCAAGTGGCATAGTTACATATTACAGTGCATACCATCTTACATTTCAATTAAAAGCTTTGCAATTTGCATGCTCATCAGAACCGCTTAGACGAGTAAAAAAAAAATACAGACCGTTTAAAATATTCAACCTGTAAGAAGACAGAAGTCAAACATAATTGTGAACTACAGCTATTTTTGTGTATAAATATTTTTCATTGAGCTCTATGTACTCTAATGACTTGCGAAAGTCAACCCATCCCGTCTTTCCGCCGCGGCCGGGCCGGTCGCCGTAAGTAGGATGGGCCCGGCCACTGTACGAGTATGTGTCCCACCGGTCGCCATGCCGCCAGTCGTCAGTGCCGCTTCTACGACCGGTCCCCCGGCGGCGTCGGCGGCAGGAGTCGACCGGTGGTGCCGCAGTCCGTCGGGCGAGCCCCCTCGACACCCAGGCAGAACGGTATCGGTGGGGAGTCAGTGCAGAGATGTGGGTAGAGCTGCGGAGCTGTGAACGGGACGGAGATCGGACTGAAGAGAATAGGAGGATGTCACAAGCTAGGTCGATGTGACTAGATATAAGACGTGTGTGGCTGTGAAGTGTGCAAGAAGTGAGGTGAGAAAGCGGCCGACATTAGTGTTTAAGTGGTAGGTAACTAACTTCCGCTGCTTCGCTTCGCTCAGACGTCCAGCAACAGCTCCAGCAGCAAGGACGTGCTCACTTATGCTGAGCATCACCGTAACTTCCCTGCAGCCACCCTGCGCCATTCACGAGCAGTGTATTAACCCGTACCCGTGATTCGGGACTCCCCTCGGCCCCTCGCCATGCCTCGGGGCAGTGACAGCTCCGGTCGGCGGATCAGAGCGCCACGCGGCACCATCCGACCACACCCGGGCTTTGACGAGGAGGCCGCGCTGGCTCAGGTGCGCACCCTGTACCGAGCCCTGCAGAGACCCGTCGACACGGCAGCGGTCATCAGCGTGCTCACCAAGTACACGCTACACGAGCGAAAATATGTGGAAGACGTGTATAACGTGCAGCATGAGCCGAAACTGCAGCACGCGCTCCGAGCGGCGTTCTCGTATAACGCTCAGGCGACGCTGTTGGCACTACTGCAGTGGCATAACCAGTTCTTGGCGGCCGCCGCGCGTCGTGCTCTTGTCGCGAGACCCACCGACAAGGCTACTCTGATCGAGCTGTTCTGCGGCCAATCACAGGACGAGCTGCGAGACATGGTGCGCACCTACGACCGGCTTCACAGCCGGCCTCTGCAGGCAGAGCTGCGTGCACAGCTCAATGGAGAGCTGCGGCAGCTGGCGCTGGCGCTGACCGCGCTCAACCGAGACCAGTCGGAGCCGCCGGGGGATAACGCCGCCAGAGAGCTGGCCGGTCGGCTGGCGGCGGCCGGACAGGGCCGCGATGCCGAGATGTTCATCAGCGCCTTCAGCACGGTCGGATACCCGCTGCTGCGGCGCGCCTTCGAGCTTCTCCCGGAGGTCAACCCTAGCCACGCCGACATCCAGACTGTGATCCGGGCCAGCTTTGGCGGCGATATCCGTACCGGCCTGCTGGCGGTAGCACAGTGTGTGGCTGACCAGCCGGGCTACTTTGCCGAGCGACTGTATCGCGCTATGCGCGGGCTCGGCACTGACGACACGGCACTCATCCGGATCCTCGTCTCCCGGGCGGAGAATGATCTGCAGAATATCAAGGACGCCTACCACCAGCGCTACGGCAAGAGCCTGGCCGCTGCCGTGGAAGACGATACGTCCGGCACCTACTGGCACTGTCTGAGGGCCATCATCAAACCGTAGTCCTACCGACCTTAAATCAGGGCCTTCATCAAACACTCGACGTGCATGCCGGTGCAGCTCGTGAGCATAAATGCTCGTAGTTTGTACTTGTGATAGTTTGTAAAATGTGCAAAGTGTGGTGTGAATGAGCCAGCTGAAGACCTAACTTCACTGTCGATTGCTGACTTCCCTAAATGGGCCGACGTGGTTGAACAATGAACACCCCACTCAACTATGAACAAAGAATGGCAATCAAAAGGAGTGTCGAGGTTACTACCCAGGGTTGTCTTCAACGAGTGTCAAGGGCTTTTGAGTGCTAAGGTCAAGCTCTCTAAGGTCGTTATATGTACCGAATTCCACGACAATGGTCATGTATGACGTTCGCCGCCTACCATGCCCCGGATTTGTAACACCTGGCGCATCTATAACCGCTATCGATGCTCGCAATCTGGTAACGACCCCAGTAACCAGGTGTTCACAGAACGCCAAGGCAAGGTGTTTGTCCCTGATGTCGGAGGGCCGGTAAAATATTCACCGCTTGGCCCGACGAAAGTGGTATTTAGTCAGTGGTATCAAAGTTATGTGGCCGACAATATGCTAGCCAATAGCAAACAATGTTGTAGAAGTCTAGCCACTGTAGCTGGTGGGCCGTCGGAACCCTTTGGTAGGCTCAGTCGACTCTCTACGGAGTTCTTGCAACAACTGCGTACACACTACACACTATATCAGATTGCCCTTTGGCGCAGTTGGTCACTTGGATCAATAGAAGTGCAGCCTTGCACTACGGGCTAGCTCAGTCGAAATGACTTTATGGCGACTGGTGAGTGACGAGCATTGGGTCTTTTTGAAACTGGCCGTGACCCGAGGGGCATAATTTATCAACTGTTTGATTGCACGCAGCTCCTTCAGTGCTAAGAAGGCAGATCAATAGCCAAACTTGAAACTACGTCATTTGTCTTGCCATTGTAATTGCCACCTAAAAGGCAGCCCAAAATTACTGCACTCTGACGCCAGCCATTCGGCAACCGTGTTCGTCATGCCAGAGATGATATGACGCACGCGAGAAACCGCTAAATTAGCAGGCATCCATTGAAAGGAAAAAAACAGCTAGTGCTTTTAGTCCGTGCTAATAATTGAACATCACTGGTGTTTTATAAGTACATTTTAATACGAAATTTATCCCAGTGAATAATAATTCAGATGACTATGAAATAATGGCTCGGACAGCCTAGGAAGTAATCCATCAATGTCACGTGACACATCGATACATTTCACCGCTACTCAGATAAAGGCAGCAATAAATATTTCATCAAGATATTGTATTGCTCGTGAAACCTGCATGCAATCAGATAGCACCCAGTTTATAAGTAGAATAGTGACCCTCTACAGAGAGACTTGAGAGAGACAATAAATACATAAGCAGAGACAGACGCTTAAAATGACTTAACGAGACATCGTGCACCACGTGCAGTATAATTGTGACGCTGTCATTAAATGAACATTTATGAAAGACTGGATAATTCTAATAATGCGACCTCAGTTGCGACCGTTGTGTCATTTCAATTCTAATTTGAATGACTGTTCCCAATGCAATGGCTGTCCATTCCTAAAGCTTGAAACAGACTCTTTCCGCAGTCAGGAAATCGCATGCGAGAGCCTATTCAAATACATGGAAGCACGCTCGCATCAATCGCACGCACCTCCCGCAAGCGACTGATGCGAGAAGAATGATAATGTATTTGAATAGGCTCTCGCATGCGATTTCCTGAACGCGGAAAGAGTCTGTTTCAGCCTTAATGCAGGCGGTAGCTTCAGAAATCAAGTTAATATCTCAGGATAGGTCATTTTGTGAGTTGTTTGAGGCCAGAGTTCATCTTCAGCGTAAATAACATGCCCAGGATGTTTGATGTTCAAGGAAACATATGCACCATAAAGCGAACAATAATACACAATAGACTTAATCACGCTAAATACATAATTGCACTGAATCAATCGTAGTTCACTATGGAATTGGAGCCTCAATCAATCGTTCCGTCAATCAACCGATTTTAGCCGTCAGTTCATCCGTCCAGCACTCGGTATCACCACGGATATGGTGCCCTTACATGTTCCCAGTGTTTTATCCCACTTCGGGGTCACACCTGCGCTGATATGGCACAGGTAGCACGCACCCCCTCCGGGGTAGCCGCGTATCCATGGTCTGTACTCACTGCGTCTCTGGGATACATGTAGCGTCTCTGGTGTGGCGTAAAGGTGGAGTGTCCATCGTGGGCACTGACGGGCAGTTTAAAACGCTCGCTAGGCTATCGGTAGCCACCAGTAGCACCAAGATCATTAGCAAGCTGTCTCCAGCATCCCCAGAACATACCAGCAGTAGCCACCAGCAGAGATCACCAGCAGTCAACCGCAGCTCAGCCGTGGTCGCCCTATGTCGGCGGCCGGGCCGGGGTGGTCTAGGTCTGTGTCGGCTCCCGCTCCGCTCAGCCGGTGGTCCAGGTAAAGGGCGGCAGCCGGTGCGACTCTGGCAGCTGTCGGTTCAGCTCGGCCAGCTGCCGGGTGGTGTCCTCCAGGAGCCGGTGGCAGCGCTGCACAGAGTGGGCCACCTCACCCACCTTCTGAAGTCGCTCGGCGTGCCGCGCGAACGCCTTCTGTCGGTCGGTGACCGTGGCGAGCAGCGCCGCCGACTGCTGGTCCAGCTGTGGGGACACACACACGACGGATTCCAGAGACTCGAACACAGAACACAGACTATTCCGACTGCTGGTCCAGTTGTGGGACACACACCACGGACTCCAGAGGCTCGGACACAAAACACACCGACTTTGGGGATTCAGATACACATAACATTTACACCACACCGACTGCTGGTCCAGCCGCCGGAACATATTCATCAGCGACTCAGACTCGAAGGTGTGAGAACAGTTGACGGAATCTGACACGAAGCTGACACCGCACTGCCCGGGGCCCCGGAGAGACCGATGCCTCACCTACTGAGGAGTGGGCCTGGACATAGAATACCCACAGGAATTCGACACAGCACCCCAGAAGCCGCATTATTGCACGCATCCCTACAGAAACTACACAGGAGCCACCCTCTCGCTCAGAGAAGCATCGATAATGCAAAACTGTTACACTGAATAATCGCAATATTCTTATTTCAAATTTGTCACATCCCCATCTACGAGCCACACTGAACCGAAACCTCCCCTTCCCCTCTACAATTACCACTAAACTACCATGAAACTTAAAGCCGCCTAATGTTTTAGATTCTAAAACATTAGGCGGCTTGGTAGTAGAATGCTATTTTGTTAGTCTTGTCCTTCATGTCATAAAATAAATTCACAGAAGTACGTAGGTATAGGCGGTATAGGTTCAGTTGGTATTCGTAAGATATACAGGCGGGAGGCACGTGGAATCGCGGATAGAGAGCTGTAATACAACAATCACTGACTGAGCCCTGAGGCGTTCATAAACGTTCATAAGAATATTAACCACCACGTCATGTTTTCCACACTGCCGCGCAGCGCCCTAAGGAATTGCAAACTTTGTCGACAGGACACTCGAATCACGACGTAGGAAACAGTTATCAAGTCGGACTGGATCGATATGAGTTATGACGTGTGCAGTAGTCACAAACAAAGTTAGTACACGCCCACGCTGCCACAGAACGAAAATAGACGAGCTGTTGTGGCAAGGCGAAGGCAGACACCGGAACAAAACAAGGTCTGACGAATAATTTCAGGAGCGATCAACGTTGGATCGGCACAAATTATGGCCGAAAAAAAAATATTTGCGCTTCCAGTAGTCAGTACTATCGGCTCCAAATATCTACCATACAAAAACAGAACACGACCAACGTGTGTTACAAGCTTATGTTACAACGAAAGCTTATGTGACAAGCTCTTCAATCAGGAATCGGTCATAGGGTTTAATAAAAAATAGTTCTGCTTTTTGCTGGACCATGACCAACTCCACCCTCTACCAACCACAGTGCGCCGCTTACCTTGCCGATGGCGGCGGTGATTTCGGCCTGTTTGGCTGCGGTGCGGTCCGCGTTGGCGGCTAGGTGTCGCTGCAGTCGCGCCGCCAGGTGTCGCACGGCTACCGAGTCCAGCCGGTCCAGGACGTCTGGGTCCCGGGAGCCCGGGTAGGTGAGCGCGCCCCGCATCACCGGCAGGAACGTGGGGATCAGCTGTACCGAAACGGAGACAGCGTTACCGACGGACACACGATCACAGAAGACAGCGCCGTACATTCGATAAACAGCAGACGTTTTCACATTTTCCGACGACGACGTGATGTGGAGATTTCGGAGTTGGTCGCATCGTTTTCGCTTTTAAAATGTTTTGGTAATGCTCGGTGCAAGAACACAGAATGAGTAGCGAGAGTGGACCCAGCAAAGGAATGAGCTCGCACATATCCTAAGTCTATTCAAAGAACGCCAAAACCGTCGGCATAATAACACATTGCATCAATACCCGAACTGATAGCACCCCCAACCCCTCGCCCTCGCCAGCCGCCTGGGAAGGTGTTCTCACCCTTAGCCGGCGCAGGTCGGGGTCCTCCTCCTGGGCACCATGAGCCGGTGACGCCGCCTGTTTCACTACCACAATCTCCTTAGGAAGGGCCGGCTGACGGGCCCGTGATCTGCCCGGGCGCAGTCGGCGTCCGGCATGACGGGGTGACTCGGCTGGGGACGGGGACGGGGCAGCGTGGGTCACCGTGGGTCAGCAGGTTACTAAGGGAGAGAGTAAATGTGAGGAACTACCACGGAGGCACTTCATAACATACTGGGCTGAGCAAGAAGAGGTAAGATGACCGGGAAGGATAACTATGAAGAAGCTAAATGTCTAAACAAATGTTTGAAGTGACTGAGTGTTCATGACTGCTTATTGTTTAATATGGTATCATAAAACTTATGTAACAGCTATAGAGTAGATTCGAGACTCAGTCACAGAGTCGCAGCACCTACTCGTATAATCAAGTAGAGTACTACTAACATTAACAATATCTGCAAAATC